TGCGTACGCGCCTGGTCTGTCTGTCTTCAAGTTCTGCATACCAGCCTGTCGCTGCCTCTGTCTATCTCCCTCTTTCCCCCTCTCTCTCTCTCTCTCTCTCTCTCTCTCTCTCTCTCTCTCTCTCTCTCTCTCTCTCTCTCTCTCTCTCTCTCTCTCTCTCTCTCTCTCTCTCTCTCTCTCTCTCTCTCTCTCTCTCTCTCTCTCTCTCTCTCTCCCTCCCTCCCTCCCTCCCTCCCTCCCTCCCTCCCTCCCTCCCTCCCTCCCTCCCTCCCTCCCTCCCTCCCTCCCTCCCTCCCTCCATCCATCCATTCCATCCATTCCATTCCATTCCATTCCATCCATCTATCGATCTATCTACCGGTATCTATATATCTATCTATCTATCTATCTATCTATTTACGTGCTCCATTCAGCGCTTGTTACAGTAATGTTGTTGTTGTTGTAGAAGTTTATTTAACGTCGCACCACAAACAGGCGATTTCGCCTCCTTTGATACATGTGGACGACAGAAGGAATGAGAGAGAGGGGGGGGGGACAGAAGTATGGAGAGAGGAAGGGTAGAAATAAATAAGCAATCAACCTCAGGGCTACACCAAAGCAAAAACGGAATGGGAACATACTATAATAGCTTCATACATACATGTATATTGCAAAACACGTTTACTATTCTTCAGTCCGCTATACCACAGAAACCCACTAGCCGAAAAGCATTTAAACGGAGCCATGATGCGCTTTTAGCAGGGCACAGAACTGAAGGTGGCTGGGCTCGGAACGGAGATCAGGCGGGAGCTGGTTCCACAGGACTGCGCCGATGAACTGCATGGTCGCTCGACCCGCAGGACCGGGCCAAAATGGTACTCGAACGAGGTGATGTGCTGCTCCCCGAGTGCGGTCACCAGTAACTCTCACGAAGAAGCTGGTGAAGAGGGAGCTAGCTCGGGAGAACAGACAACGACGGACAAAGATGAGGAGCTTAATGTTAAACATGTCCTCCAGGGTGGTGAGGCGGAGCTGTTCAAAGATCGGGCTCGTGCGCGACCACGGTGGCAGACCAAAGAAGCCGCGGATAGCGCACTTCGTTAGACGTGTGAGGGGCTCCATGTTGCCAATTTGAAGTGACGGATAAAAGGCGTTGGAAGCGTACGACAACCTACCCTGGATCATCGACCTGTAAAACAGGATGGACAATTGATATCAATATTTTACACTGCCTGCACCTAGCAGTAACTCTTCACTCTTCACACTTCACGCTTTCTTTTTTGTGCGCCTTGCTGTGTGGTTGTGTATTTCTTTAGTGGACCTGACAGCCCTGCTTTAGTTAGAAAAGTTGCCTGACGATTGAAAAACTCAAGAAACTCGGAGTAGCAACGGATTGTGTTTTCTTGGTGAGGACCGCTTCCATTGTATCCATCTATCTATATATCTATCTACCTATCGATCTATCTATCTCTTTCTGTCTATCGGTCTCTCCGCCGTCCAACATTTTCTCTGTCTGTCTCTCTGTCTTTCGCACCACCTCATATATACACACACAAACTATCTCTCTCCTGAATGCCGGCCTCTTGTGTGAGCATTTATACAAGACTCTGAGCTTTCTTAGTTAATGGTGGCAGCTGCTTGGCATGCACTCGATGATCCCCTGGCCTCTGAAATATTTCTCTCCTAACTGTTTGCTCCTCGGTATTGTATTTTAATTATTGATATTGACGTATCAGAGCTCTCATCGTACATCTCGGACCAAACTCCACCTACCCCTTCCCCACTATCTAATATTTTCTGCTTTAAGTCCCCTCGTGCTTCTTGGCACCTTCATTCTCTTCATTGTTATGTCGATCGGGGGATCAAGCGATAACTGCAATGCAGTTGTCAATAACAAGTGTACAGAACACAACAAGCTACAATTAGGATAGATCTGCGGGTGAGCTCATGAGGTGCGAAGGAAGTGATAAGAAATGTGAAACTGGGAAAAGGGTACTTTTTCGACTTCCTTCTCAGACTCTCGCCCACTGCTCCAGCGCAGCCTCCGGGAAGCTTCCCCGATAGGTAACCTCAACTGAGGTACCATTAAATTTTACTTTGAAGAATCCTTCTATTATGCATGTTTGTAAATGTTCTCATCAGAGGAAAAACCTCCGGTTCCTACTTAAAGAACAAATAAAATATTATGAGAGAAGGGAATCTTTTTTTTAAATGGACTCGGATGGAGAGCCAAGGATACATAAAGTAAAGAAAAAAGGACCAAGAAACTACAAGTTACGCTATAATGTCCACTAGCACCACCAGTTACTAAACAATCAGCTCATGAGATAACATTGCACGGCCAGTTAGTTGTAGAACGTCCGTCAGTGTCGTGCAATGTTATCGCATGAGCTGATTGTTTAGTAACTGGTGGTGCTAGTGGACATCATAGCGTAACTTGTAGTTTCTCGGTCCTTTTTTCTTTCCTGGGAATACTAAAAAGAATCATAACATGAGAATTCCAAAGTATAGAATTCAAATAGATGTGTTTACGTGTAAGCAGTGCAGAACACATCGGGATTACACGCAGGATCGGTAATGTGTATAATGAATACTGGGGGGATTATTGCGTGCACACTGCTTTTTTTTTAAAGTATATAGATCTAGATGAGGGATGAATGTCAAGCAAAGCGGTACCCATGACCGAAGTGATGCCGAGTTTACAGGCACAGGCCACACGGTGGAGGCGAAAATCACTGGGAAGGGCATTCCAAAGAGTGCTTCCCACAAATGTCAATGACTGACGACCAGAAGGTCCAGGAAGGAAAGGCACTTGCAGCAGCCGCTGTTCCTGTCCTCAAGTAATTCTGTGATCATCCCGGGATGCGTGGCCTGTATTAGCCGCCCGCTGAAAGCAGGTGCAGAAAAGAGGATGCAAGAGCATGTAGGGAACGGAAAACAAAAAAAGCATAACCGTGTAGTGAAAAATGTGAGTTACGGATCGAATACCCGGTAGATAAGCTCATGAGAAGGGGGGGGGGGCTGTGGATGCACGGCTGGAGAGTGGGAAAATTGCACGAACTCCGGATATGCTGGATTTGATTAAACGACTCTGCAGCTGCTATGTACTGTGAGTGAATGAGTCCTGGCTCCATAGTAGCTACATGTAGTCATTATAACTTTATAAGCCACTGATAGCAGGGATCAAGGGCACATTTTATGATAAACGATATCACCAGCCTTCGTATTACTTCGAAGTACTCGGACTCGACGTGTGCATGATCTTCGCAAAGGTGGTGTTAAAGTCCTAAAGATATCAGCGCAGGCGCATAGCTACTGGGAAGGTGTGTAGTGGGGCCTAGTTTTCAAGAGGGAATCCTCAGTGGAGGGGGGGGGGTGCAGTAGCACCCTGAGTTGAGGAGGTTGTGTCCTACGCAGGGCGTCAGGCAAATGTCCTCCCCCGACCGAAAGCTCGAATGTACATGTACTTGTATCCGCAAATCACAATCCCGCTTCACTAATACTATTCATCGCTGCGGTAATCACAATCCTCTGAAAAGCTTACATGTATTGACAAGAATAGGAGGATACAGTGATTCGATGTGTCACACACTCTCAAGCTGTTTCAAAGTCGGTATACTGTAGCTTGCATTGTGCCTTGAAACCGCTGGTATTAGGCGCATGCCAGTTTTGATCCCCATAAAGTACCGGTATGCAACAACAAGAACCAACAACAACAACGACAGCGGCGGCAGCAGCAACAGCAGCAACAGCAACAGCAACACTCAACAGCAGCAGCAACAGCAACAGCAACACTCAACAGCAACAGCAACACTGAGCAACAGCAACACTGAGCAACAGCAACAGCAACACTCAACAGCAACAGCAACACTCAACAGCAACAGCAACTGCAACACTGAGCAACACTGAGCAACAGCAACAGCAGCACTCAACAGCAACAGCAACAGCAACACTGAGCAACAGCAACAGCAGCAGCAGCAGCAGCAACAGCAACCGCAGCAACAGCAACCGCAGCAACAGCAACCGCAGCAACAGCAACCGCAGCAACAGCAACCGCAGCAACAGCAACCGCAGCAACAGCAGCAGCAGCAGCAGCAGCAGCAGCAGCAGCAGCAGCAGCAGCAGCAGCAGCAGCAGCAACAACAACAACAACAACAACAATCAGCAGATGTATCACCCTACCATGAAGGACACCACCTACAACATGGCTTGTATGGAATACTATGGAGTATGGATCCGTAAAAAAAGTGCTGAATTCGGACAGGAAGCCTCACACATACTTGTACATGTACATGTATGTAGCCTATTGTAGGGCTCCAGCGATCCAAAAAGTCAGCGTTGCCAGGAGTGCGGCCCGGCTGTGACGTAGAACGTTCACGCCATGTGCACACTGAAGTTTCACCACGCTGTATTCCGCCATATTCCCCGTGGCTGCACTGCTATTCCAGAAAATAGGCCTGAAATCCGCATTGTCCGGACTCCCAAACATGCATGTTCGCACTAACTGGAATGGGACAGTTCGCCTCCAATAGAGGGACACGCCTTACAGATCGGTGTAGTAAAATACCCTGGAAATACCCTGGCAAAGAGAGTCATCAAAGGGGAGAATACCTCCGAGTGAGGGACAACTGTAGATGGTCTGAAATATGCCAAATACTTCTGGAGGCAGCAGCTGTCAGACTGTGCTTGGCATAAAAACACTTCCTTGTGAAAAAACATGGCTCTGTGCGTGGTGGGGTTGGACTGGGCCGGGGCCACATCTGCTTCTTGATTTAAATATTCTCATCCGCATCCCAGATGCTACGAGCATTCAGGCCTAAAAAATCCTCAGTGCAGTTTGACAGTCTGGGAAACATCTGTGCTGATATTGACCTACATGTGGTGACTTCACTCAACAGACATCAACCTCAATACATGCATGACGTGTATGTATAGCTGATTGGTACTAGAAATCTAGCAGGGTTCCGAACTACCAAGGCCCAAATCCCACATAAATAGTGATGCCCGCAGGAGCAAGTCGATCTTTCCTTGGCAATGAGTTCAATTACAGATCACCAAATCAGTCTTCATAGTGGTTGATCACTGGCTTTCAGTGCATCTGCGGTTCTATTATTTAGTTCTTACATGCTACAAGCATGGATTCCACGCCAGAGGTTAGACTGGTTTCAGCACTGGAGGAAGCTCCTTCCAAGGAAGAGAGAACCCTGCCTGCAAGGCATCAAGGACAGCAACCAAAGAAATCACACCACCCAACCACTGCGGGGCAGAAGCGGATGGGCCTCTTCAGAAACATTGCCAGCATCCAGTGCAAGTCGTTTCTTTGCTCTGCTCTTCACTACTATTCTACCAACACTGCACTGCTGGAGCAGCCAGCCTCCACTTGCTGTCGTGATGATGGGTGTGACCAGAGCTTGGAGAAATGGCGCACCATGCTTGCTGGTGAGATTATGGCCAACTTTCAAGCTCAACGAAAAATTCAGCAAACCCCCAAGCAACCAAGTTCAAGAAAAGTGAAACCAGTTGTCCAAGTAAGTTACTAGTAGTTACATTGTGTTCACGTGATAATAATTATTACTGATATGGCCTTGTACAGTACTTCGAAGCAGTGACCCGCCTACTGTAAAATGGATAGCTTTAGCGATGGTACAACTTTGAGAGCAATTTAACCGTTTTGTTGTAAAACTCGCCAACCATTTTTCTACCCTAAAAATAGGGAAATACCCCAGTGTCTGCTCTAGGATTGTAGGACAGCCGGGTACACGTGTACCTGGCGCAACCATTTCAACCGGGTCGGAGCCGGGTATACATGTACCTGGCACTGTCTCACCAGCCGAGTCACATGCTTTAACTGGTTGGTTGGTTTATTTTAATTCGGACAATAAACGGGAACTAGGCCCAATGATATAAAGGCGAATGGATAAGCCGCATTTAGAAAAGAGAGGACAGGAATTAGAAAATTACGAAAGAAGAAGAAGTATCTGACACATACAAGCCATGGAGTCAGTCCTTTAAAAGTTCGAAAGTGTAAAGTACCAACCGGGTCACAGGTGACCCGGTACTATATTTTCAACCGGGTCCAAGCGCCGCCCAACCGGGTGGATTACTCGGCTCACCCGGCGCTGGAGCAGACACTGATACCCATCTGCCACATGAATGACATTGTCTTCTGTGGGTGTGTGTAGGTTGTTCATGGCGGTAAGGCATCAGGCAAAACCAGGGTTGCTCAGCAGCTTGTGCACGAGGACAGTTGCCGGGATCTACCCAGGTACTCTCGTGTACTGTGGATACGCGCCTCGTCGCGACATCACCTCACTCGCTCCTGGAGAAACCTAGCGGTAAGTAGAGTCAACATGCATTGATTCGGCAGCTGACTGTGTTAGAGTTGGAGACTAGTCACCTGACTGTGTTAGAGTTGGAGACTAGTCACCTGACTGTGTTAGAGTTGGAGACTAGTCACCTGACCATATGTAACAGTCACTAGTAGGACCACCTGCACTTGCCAAAACCCCGCCAAGACATTGCATGCATTCTTGTGACCAGGTGCCTCTCCCACCTTTTAAAACATAATTATTATAGTTCTACCTGTATTTCTGCGTTGTGTGCAACCTGCTCAGATCTCCTTGGGACTGCTGCCAAGAGCCTCTCAATACCCACTTGCCTTCTTGGGTCCTCTGCTGAATGGAACGTTGAAACTGACTAGCACACGGTGGTTGCTCGTTCTTACTGGCTTGGAACATGTGTCATTACTTGCTCAATCGCAGTACAATCTACCCGTGAGAGGATGCCACTGTGATGTGCTCATCCTCACCACCGATTTCTCCGCCGATCTATCTCCAATAGGCAGGGACTTCCACACAATAGATGGGCCAACAGTGAAGCAACTGCCACCTGAGCAAGCCCATGCCGTCATCACCCACAACTTCCCGTTGCACAAGCACAAGGCCAGAGTGACTGCAACAGGCATGCCTGTACATGTATCTGCTGCTCGCCCACCCCCAGTCGAGGACCCAGGTGACCACGACAGGGCCTGCGTGCAAGAAGACCATCGAGCCGCGTTGCATGACATCATGTGTCTGACACAGGGACACCCCCTGTGCTTGGCCATGCTGACTCGATGCGTGACGGTGGCACCAGCCATGGGTGTGGACATGGCCGGGCTCATGAGGAAGCATGCAGACGCTATCGACACACCCGTGCAAGAGCAAGCCTCCTGCGTCAGCGGTAGAATCACGGACAGTTCTGCATCTGACCGATTGCCACTTGCTGCCATAATTGGCTTAGTACTGAAGTGCTTGACACCTGCTGCCATGGATCTGCTGGTGCTGGCTGCAGCCTTGGGAGGCAACCAGGTGCCCCTCCTTCTCATTCTACTGCAGCCATTGGAGACCCTGCCCAGGCATCTTCAGAATGCGCTGGGCACAAGCTGGCACGATGTACTGAATGCCCGAGGCATGCCTAGCAACCAGCGCAGCATCAAGCAGCTCGGCCAGTGCTCTCGGAGGCTTCTAGACCTGGTCCATGAGCTGGAAGCAATGCACACGGCAACACTGCACACAGGACTTCAGCAACAGGATGCTGAAACACCGGAACTCACCGCTGTTTCCGTGCAAGCAACTGTCCGGTATGCTGTGCTGGAGCACTTCCAAGGCAGCGACTCATGCCTTCCGTCCTTCCTGACCTTGGCCATGGACATTCTCCTAAAGGCAGATAGCCAATGCTGCATATCATCACGGCTAGATGTGCTTCTGCCGCTCAGCATGACATTCCTGGAGGTGCCTGATTTGAACCGGGCTCATGCGTCTAGCTTTGTGCAGAGCGGCAATCCAACTGGCCTGCTACAAATGCTGCCAAGAGAGGCAAGGCACTCCCTGGGCATGCTGGCTAACCAATGCATGTTGCTGTTTGCAAGCTACCCGCAACTCATGGAACAGGAGCAGAAGCTGACAAGCCTGCTCTATATACTTGACTTGCTGCAAGGTGATGCCAGCCCACAAGCCGAACAGGCAAGGAACCTGCTGGAAAAACGATGCCGCGTGGTCTTGAACAAACAACCACGTAGCACCAGAGCCCAGCATGCGGACAAACTTCTTCGACAACTTCCAAAGAAAATAGCTGTCACCGTGTTCCCACCCCTCTTGCAATTCGGCGCCCACTACACAGCACAACGCTTCCAAGTTCACACAAGTAGCTCCGCCGGCATGCGTCATAGACCAATGGATGCCGCCGCTGCTCTCTGCATCAATCCATCCGCATTCGAACCATGGTTGGCTAGCATTGCTGGGCTGTTCAGCAAAAAGAAGCTTGAACGACTGCGTTTACTTTTCCAGGATATAATTGCTGGCTTTCTCCTACTGCTGGAGCTGTTACCAAAGAGAATCACAGCCTTGCAACAGGGAAGGACACCGACCAAAGCCAGGGAGCTTAGTGAGTTCCAGAAGCGATTTGACCCCATGTGTAACGAGATAATGGACTTACTCCAACATGCCGTGTGCAAATCGGCAGGATTCAAAGACATACCACTGCCGAGCAGATCGACGAAGACAGCAGCAGCAGCTGCTGACAAATGGGAGCCAATGGTCACATGGCAAGAAAGCAGAAGCGCAAGCACGTTCACAAGTAGACCCACTCCTAAAGGGCGCAGAGGTCTGAACCGGCGCACTGCCAGTGGTCTGCCAATAGCACAGAAGCTGGCACGGTTTGCCCACGACTGCTGCGCACGGACCGGCGCTCACGAGATACAAACAGCGGTTGCTACTCTCCTGGGTCTACATGCGCTGGCTTTGCTGGTTGGTGGAGACCACGCCGGTGTGATGCGGGAAACGGAGCGATCGCTCTGCGTCAACAGGTTTTCCCGCGACGACAATTCACAGACGATTCAAACCGGTCTCTTCATGCTATCCCTGTTGAAAACAACCTCCTGCATCGGAGCAGAACATCCACCGCTCACCTTGTGTGATGCGCTTGATTGAGGCATGTCCTCTCCGACTCTTCTTCAAGTGGTTCACGGACTTGTCTTCTGTCTTACTTGTAAACGCATATGCTGCAACTGTGTGCAAATAGGAGTTGGCTCATGCCACAGTGAAGTCCAAACGTCACACCATATTGATTTGACTTTGGCTGTAAATACTGGAGACCAGTCATTGGCGATCAAGTACGCCTTTGCTGACTGCTCATATCAGAATAGCACACGCTCGTTTTGTTTTGTTTTTATCTAATAGTGCAGATAGCAATCTGGAGCTGATGCAAAAAGTAAAGTTTGTTCTTTTTGTTTCCTTTGTTTTTAACGATCATGTGATATTGCTGCCACAGCATGTACTCCGAACACAAGCAAGAACATTCAAGCAAATTGGCACTGAGCTCGTACACAGAAGTGACTACCGTATTTCACCAAATATAAATCGCACCCTTTTACACTAACATTCAAGGGTAAAAATTTAAAAAAAGGGGGTGCGACCTACAATCAAGCGTGACTTACTACTGAAGTCAATATAATATTATATTGACTTCAGTAAATAATATCAAATCATTATCGCCTTCTTAGTATTTGACCCCACTAATTTCCCTGATACCTAAGCGGTCAAATATATCGCGTATTTGACTGCTTAGTCAAATACGCGATATATTTGACTACTTATATTTGACTCCTTAGAACTTCTTGGACTTAGAAATTTTCTCTCCAACTTAGAAAAAGAAATTTTTGAAGAAAGCAGAAATACACAAGATGGGATTAGAACCCACAACCTTGTGAATCTCAGTCACTCTTCCTTACCACCCAGCCACTGTGCTACCGATGCTGAATCTAGTTTAAACAATGATCTTGACTTTCAATGCAGTACAATGCGGTATAGGCTATAGTATAATACTAGAATTACAAGGATATGTCGTATATGAAGAGAAACTATTGCGTGGAGAACACGATAAATAGATTATAGACATCATAGTTGGTCTATACAGGATATATAGACCTCGTAAAAGACCTCGGGGGACCTCGGTCTTTTACTCGGTCTATATATCCTGTATAGACCTCCTAACCGGTCTATAAGTATAGATTATAGACCGGTTAGGAGGTCTATACAGGATATATAGACCGAGTAAAAGACCGAGGTCCCCCGAGGTCTTTTACGAGGTCTATATATCCTGTATAGACCAACTATAAGGTCTATAATCTATTTATCGTGTTCTCCACGCAATAGTTTCTCTTCATATACGACATATCCTTGTAATTCTAGTATTATACTATAGCCTATACCGCATTGTACTGCATTGAAAGTCAAGATCATTGTTTAAACTAGGTTCAGCATCGGTAGCACAGTGGCTGGGTGGTAAGGAAGAGTGACTGAGATTCACAAGGTTGTGGGTTCAAATCCCATCTTGTGTATTTCTGCTTTCTTCAAAAATTTCTTTTTCTAAGTTGGAGAGAAAATTTCTAAGTCCAAGAAGTTCTAAGGAGTCAAATATAAGTAGTCAAATATATCGTGTATATAAGCAGTCAAATACGCGATATATTTGACCGCTTAGGTATCAGGGAAATTAGTGGGGTCAAATACTAAGAAGGCGATAATCTATACATATTGCTCAAACCTGAAAATGGGGGTGCGACTTAAAGGGGAAGTTAAGGCAAAAATTTAAATTTCACCAGTTGTAGTCTTCGGGGTGCTGAGGCGAATGGTCTTGGTCTGAGGAAGCTGAGACGCTCCCTTCCTACTTGAATCACAATCGAACTCGCGCACTTCCACCGAAACTGGGTGACTGCGCCCTACTAGATGGGGATTTGTATGCAAAATGTCACTAAAAGCGCCATTTCGTTCTTATAAAAGCACGGATGACCGCGATTGGCCCATATGTTGTAGTCTTTTGGACGCTGAGTCGACTGGTTTTGGTCCGAAAAGGCTGCGATGCAGCGTTCCTCCTTTATTCCCAATCGAACATGGTTGAACACGCGGTCACGTGCTCCTGGGTGCCCAAATCACCTGGTCACCACGCCAGCAGGCGACAACTTTCACACCAAGGTTCAACTCGAGTTCAACTCGAGTGACAGGATTGCACCCAAAAAAGGTCAAACAGGCTAGTAAGTAAGTTGTACCCTGCAGGCACAGTGACCAGGTGACTGGCGTACGCAGGAGCACGTGACCACTTGTTCAACCATGTTCGATTGGGAATAAAGGAGGAACGCTGCATCGCAGCCTTTTCGGACCAAAACCAATCGACTCAGCGTCCAAAAGACTACAACATATGGGCCAATCGCGGTCCTCCATGCTTTTATAAGAACGAAATGGCGCTTTTAGTGACATTTTGCATACAAATCCCCATCTAGTAGGGCGCAGTCACCCAGTTTCGGTGGAAGTGCGCGAGTTCGATTGGGATTCAAGTAGGAAGGGAGCGTCTCAGCTTCCTCGGACCACGACCATTCGACTCAGCAGCCCGAAGACTACAAGTTAAAGGGGAAGTATACCCTAAAATCAAATTTTCACCAGTTGTAGTCTTCTGGGTGCTGAGTCGAATGGTCTTGGTCCGAGGAAGCTGCGACGCTCCCTTCCTACTTGAATCCCAATCGAACTCGCGCACTTCCACCGAAACTGGGTGACTGCGCCCTACTAGATGGGGATTTGTATGCAAAATGTCACTAAAAGCGCCATTTCGTTCTTATAAAAGCACGGATGACCGCGATTGGCCCATATGTTGTAGTCTTTTGGACGCTGAGTCGACTGGTTTTGGTCCGAAAAGGCTGCGATGCAGCGTTCCTCCTTTATTCCCAATCGAACATGGTTGAACAAGCGGTCACGTGCTCCTGCGTACACCAGTCACCTGGTCACCGTGCCTGCAGGGTACAACTTACTAGCCTGTTTGACCTTTTTTGGGTGCAGTCCTGTCACTCGAGTTGAACTCGAGTTGAACCTTGGTGTGAAAGTTGTCGCCTGCTGGCGTGGTGACCAGGTGATTTGGGCACCCAGGAGCACGTGACCGCTTGTTCAACCATGTTCGATTGGGAATAAAGGAGGAACGCTGCATCGCAGCCTTTTCGGACCAAAACCAGTCGACTCAGCGTCCAAAAGTCTACAACATATGGGCCAATCGCGGTCATCCGTGCTTTTATAAGAACGAAATGGCGCTTTTAGTGACATTTTGCATACAAATCCCCATCTAGTAGGGCGCAGTCACCCAGTTTCGGTGGAAGTGCGCGAGTTCGACTGGGATTCAAGTAGGAAGGGAGCGTCGCAGCTTCCTCGGACCAAGACCATTCGACTCAGCACCCAGAAGACTACAACTGGTGAAAATTTGATTTTAGGGTATACTTCCCCTTTAACTGGTGAAATTTTAATTTTTGCCTTAACTTCCCCTTTTAAGACCATGATTGAGAAACAGAGGGTACCAGGTTCAAGTCCTGCTTGGAAGCGGAAGGATTTTTTCCAGCCGTGCTGCGACCCACAGTTAATTGGGGACTCGTGGCCTGGCACGAGGGAAACATGGATGCAGTGAATGGGATTTCGGTCTTTGACCACTTTGTGGTGGGTCTGATCTACTCACCTCCCACCGCTTAGGAGCTGCATCTGCGCCTTGATCCAAGAGGGTGGTGGCGTTCCTGCGGATGCGGAAAACTGGGCCTTTGGCCGAGTCTCACGCGAACCGTGAAATTTTTTTTTTTCCCCCTTTAAAGGGGAAGTCCGGTGAAAAATTTAAATTTCACAGTCCGTAGAGTTCGGGGCGCTGAGTCGAATGGTCTTTGTCCGAGGAGGCTGCGGCCTATGGTTCGTCAGCCTAATCGAACATGTGCGAATTTGAGCGCGCATCACCCAGATCCAGGTGATGACGTCACAGCGTGCAGCCAGGTAGCCACACCATCTAGTTGTGTACAAAACGGCCATATTCGGAGCGCGTTCGATTGGGGAACCGTTTGTCGCAGCTTCTTCGGACCAAGACCATTCGATTCAGTGTTACAAACACAACGTACTAGTACCCTGTGTTTTTTCACTTTCAGCTCGGTAAACCTCGAGGTTATACCGTATTTTAGCCGTTTCCGAGTTGGACTTTTTCCGTCGGCATGCACTGGCCTCTACAGCTCTAGCAATGCGCTGCGTGCATGCTAGCTGTACTGTAGTCAACAAACTCATCACACATGGAACTACTCCCGCACTGCCGTGCTGGGGTAGCTACAACAAGACCTTGAAGACTCGAGTCACAAGACTCAGAAAACTAGTCAACACACGGACTTGTCATGTACTACAAGTCTACAACAGTCAACACTCGTATCAATCGACAGTCATGTAGTCATGTAGTCAGAGAACGTGCGTTTCTCCTTGCCGGTGCTGGTGGTTGTGCTTTGAGAAAGAAAATTTTAGTTTTCCGCTCCAGCCTCATTATTTTATGCTACAGCGATGAGTGCACAACCGTGACAAGTGACAAAACAGCGAACAGCTCCCGGACCTAGAACTTTCAGATCCCGTAGCGTTGCGGGCGAAGAGTCGTGCCCGTGGTTCAAAGAGCCTGCACTGTTCTCAAATTGAGTAGTCCGAAATATGCCAAGTTCGCACCAAAACATCACCATGTGGCAGGCTACTGGAGTCTAAGCGAATCAGTGTGGATCAACATTTAGAGCACTCGCATCACTCTTCTCCATTTTAGCGACTCTGCTCTCCAGCGATCTGATAATTATATCAGCCTCGTCTGCAATAGCTGCTGCTTCTTCATCAGTCGGAAACTCAGTTGCGCTTACTCTTGACCGGCCCGCGCGGCCATTTCTTCAGCTGAATACCGAGGTTCTCAGCCCCAGACCGAACTCATGAAGGTCAGCCATGGCTGCATCCTCACTCTCACAAGGAGTTACGTATTCGGGGTCGTTTGCACCACCTACTATGGGTCGCCAAATCATTTGAAATAGCACTGACACTATTGCTTTCACGCACTTCTTTTGACCTAGCTGCACGCTATGACGTTGCGGAGGGTGTGCACATGTGGCGCGGCCGCATGACGTCATGGCACAGCCCCCGAAACTCAGTTTTTCCAACGGAAATATCTCGAGAACGCTTTGTCGGAGACACGTGGGACCAACACCATTCGACTCAGCGCCCGAAACTCTACCGACCCTGAAATTTAAATTTTTCACCGGACTTCCCCTTTAATCGAGTGCGACTTGTAGTCGGGAAAATACGGTACTTCAACCTGTTAGAACAGAGGCTATTCTACACTTTATACAGGGACAGCTCTCCAGCGTACCACATACATGTAGTTACATAGGACACACACACACACACACACACGCACGCACACGCACGCACACTGGAATGCCATTAACACAACTAATGCCTGAACGATAGTTATGATCGTTCAGAAAGAAAGAATATTTTATGATGAATACGTTTCAGCACCGTCATATTGTACAGCATGAACGTCTTGCACTTATTGACAATTCGACGAGAGGTTCATCTGCTTATCAAGAGTATGTAACCCCCCAAGAGTGTGCAACTCTGCATATGGCGTCTCCGACGGCGAAACTCACATCACGTGTCTCAGATAGCGTGCACGCAATCCGAATATCTACCATGATCATGCTGGGGATTTGCATACCCGCAGTGAGTTTCTGTCAGAGAGTGATTTTATATTACTCCGCTGCTCACTAAAAACGGGCTGGAAATGTACAACTGCGACACTGCACCACGTGATGTGAGTTTTCGCCGTCGGCGTACCCCATAGAAAGGGTATCAGCAAGAGTACATAACCCCCCAGAGTGTGCAACTCCACTATGGGTGCTGTCCCGACAGAATTTCAAGTTGACGTCATTTTGATGATGCAATGCGCACTGTACACGGATTATCAGACGAATCCGGAACCTGTGGTTGACCGAAGCCGATCGATCCTGTACAAATTATTGCAAAGAAAAACGTGTGATGCGTTGACACCCGTACACATGTTGTAAATCACTGCTGCAAGGAGCATTGCGTCATAAATAATGACGTCAACTTGAAATTCTGTCGGGACAACAGGGTATGTGGGAGTTGCACACTCTGGGGGGTTATGTACTCTTGGTATCAGGAGTTGCACACTCTTGAGGGGTTATAATTATACTCTTGTGGCTATGTGTGTGTGTGTGTGTGTGTGTGTGTGTGTGTGTGTGTGTGTGTGTGTGTGTGTGTGTGTGTGTGTACAATAGTGCTCATGCTCCCCCCCCCCCCCCTCTCTCTCTCTCCAGCAACGCCCAGCTGCATAATTTGAGGGAAGGAGGAATGGACTTTTCGCGCATACAAAAGTAACAAAACCTCACACACTCCACAATGTAGCAGAAGGCAATGCTTCATAATGAAGTATTTCCGCACGGAAAAACGAATGCAGTCATATACACAGCACTGTAGTGAGACATAATTATAGTAAAATAGCGAATATCTCTTGAAGTCAAATGAATTATTTGGACCTCAAGAATGTAAGTTTCGGGTACGCAAAGAAACCCCTTTGAGGGTTGGGATTTCTTCAAGAGCTATGAAAGGTGTCATGATAGCATGAAAGATAGTTTTATGCGGATAGAAAATATGTTACACGGAGCCGAAGGTTACAGCAACGGCTTGAATTTTAGCTCAATTCCCAGCAGTTGAGTGGACGGCACCCCCACGTGGCTACACACGTGGCTTGGTAGCGCGTCAACAAAGATTTCCACACAATACAACGAATGTACCAGTAGTTACAGAGGGATTTACGATGTGGATCAGAGAGGACAATGCTTGCCGAGGGTATAGCAATAAAGACACGAAATTAAAAAGAGTTCACACAGCTTTCCTTACTATGAAAAGGAGTACATAACCGCCGGTTACATACGCTTGCTATGACCTTAGCTCCTCCAGGCGTTTTCTTGTTGCTGCCAGTTCCTGATCGATATCCGCATCGTATTGACGGCGCTTCTCGCTGAGCTCATCCATGAACAATTGCCAGTCTTCTCCCAGTTTTTCTTTATTACATCCTTTCTCTATCTGCAAGCAACAACAGGAACGAAACGAGGTGATGATCTCGAACCCAACTGCCACACATCTGCCTAAACCAAAATTGATTTATGATACGCGTCGGATGAAAAGCGTAGCAGTCTTCTCCTTCTTTCGGGTGATTATCGATGACATAGTGGTCCTAATCCTGGCGATGGCAACTGAACACGGAGACTGGTGTAAGGCCAGTCAGTGGCTTCACACGCAATACCCCTAACCTTATTGCAATTATTGCATCTCATATTCTCATCCTAAGTACAGCGATATATATTCTCAGAGGCCCCTTCATTTCGGCTTCCACTTTTCGGAAATCCCTCAAATGTCAATGAAGAATTAACAACATGTTAGGCCCACAAGTAATTACAATATATTAATTCATATAATTCATTAGTTCATGCATTATTCATTTGGCCTGGGCAGCTACTTGCGCGTCCATGTTTGCCATAGCTACCCAGGCCCTTTATATTGCGTTGTCTCTCTTCAACTCTCTCTCTTCAATAAGCTCTCTTCAACTCGCTCTCTTCAATAATCACCATGTAGTCGTTTCTTTCGTCCTGGTCATCCCGTCTCTAATAAATGTCGTTCCACCAACCTACCTGTTCCCGTTGTCAGTCTCTTGTTCGGACCCAACAAACATAAAACATCAGGTGTGCAAGGATAGACTCGGATGGAGAGCCAGCAATTAAGTTATAGTAAAGGAAAGGACCAAGGAACTACAAGTTACGCTATGTCCGCTGACACCACCAGTTACTAAACAATCAGCTCATGCGATAACATGGCACGACACTGACTGACGGTAATAACGTTCTACAACTAACTGTGTCTATCAGCTCTAACGCGTCTTGGATGCGCACTCCGACAGCCTTCCAACTTGGAAGATGTACATCCGCCAACGTCCTTCACAGCTGAGACTTTCAGCTCGTGCTTGTCTTGGTTGCGCTCACCTTCCCCTCCTATGTTATCATATAACTTAGAACCTTCCAAGTTGGAAGCTGTTGAAGTGCGCACCCAAGACCAGTTAGTTGTAGAACGTCATAATACCGTCAGTCAGTGCCGTGCCATGTTATCGCATGAGCTGATTGTTTAGTAACTGGTGGTGTGAGCGGATATAGCGTAACTTGTAGTTCCTTGGTCCTTTTCCTTACTATAAATATAAAACATGTTCAGATCTTCTCGCACTCAAAGGAGGGACGTGAGATACATACTGGGAAAGTGGCTACAGCGCGTTTCGAAAGCTGGGACCTCAGACGTTTTGAAATGACAACACGCAAGCCTACTGTTCTCCCTGAATTTCTCAAGGAATGCATGTACATGTGAAGTGGAATTTCTCCTGTGTCAAATCGTCAAGCAGGGTGCTCTCTCAGGCTTCCATCTTAGACCTTAGATAATAGACACGCAGGCACCGAGGCAACACAGAGACTCACAGTAAAACATAAAAATCGTTTCTACCCAGCATAAAGTCAAACTCACCGCTTCGATGCTTCTCCCGGAAACAAGAGCAATTAGACTATCAGACAGGTCTGAAACTGCAACCACACACAACAAGTACGCAAGCAGACTACAGCCACAGAGATACCAATTTATATGCAATATGAACAACTGCAAAAACACAAACACACACACACACACTCGAACACACACACACATTCACACACTCACACGCGCGCGCGCGCGCTTGCATACACACACACACACACACACGCGTACGCGCGCACACACACACACACATGAGTACCTGTCACCAAACTGGAACAGCGTGCAGCTTTGCCTCCAAAAGGAGTGTTGCTTCTAATTTAATATAATTATGGGTTAAAATTAAAAAAGAGAGACCATAAGTTTACAAGTTGTCCGTTTTGTCTAACACTAACTAAAATAATTATGGGTGTGTGTAATACCCTGGCAAATATGGGATAATTTCCTTCATTTTTTCACACACCTTACACCACGTACACGACATGCACAGGCTATTGGTAATCACCCAGGAGAATTTAAAAGAGAAGGAAGAATTCTGTGTTGCTACCCTTCCGTATTTTCCATATACGGAAAAATCACTTCTTCGTCTGCAATATGGATTTTGAGCAAAATTGTACGGAAACGGAAAAGAATCGATCAGCTAACTACAAGCATTGCAAAGGAATGCCGAGCAATGATTCGATATCCTTATGGTACTAAAGCAAGTGCAGGCCGCGCTACGACTACACGCAGTGCAAACCTTGCCGTGAGTACAAATCACCACACGTGCTTTGTACAACACAAGCTAGCAATGGAACTAGGCTGAAGTAGTTATTACTCGGAGTTTCATGGCTGTGCTTTGTACTAATAAACTGGAAAGCCAGCCATCAACATGCGTGTTCGTATAAAAAAAGGCATATGGATTGAATAAGTTCTGAATGACGCTTCACTCAGATTAATTTTAACAAAATGGTTTGGTGGCAACACAGGCCAATACTCAGTTACACTGCAATTTAACACAATCGATCAGAAGCTCAAGTAGTTCAACGTTTCGGGAGATGGCAGGGCTGCCACTTTTCTGTCGGAATAAATCTGGATGGGATCTATGGGTTCCCCGACCAGGGGCCGAGGGGTAACGAGACAGAGCTCCAAAGCATTACTAGGCTTCTAAGAGTCTGAAACGACAGATTAAGGCACTTTAGTGAACGATCCTGGTAATAACGTGAAGATTGTTTTTGGTCGGTTTGTCGTAACCTGTAAAAATCGGAGTGTTTCCAAAAAAACAGAACAAGTGGCAGCCCTGAGATGGTCACAAGGACCAACAATGTTGGTCCGCCATTTCTGATCTATTGGCTAATTGCAGTGTGGCTCAGTGTTGGCCGGTGTTCCCATCAAACCACATTGTTAACCCTTTCCGTGCTGGCCCTTTTTACTCCAGCAAACTGCCGTTCCAGCGCACTGACTCTTCTGGTGTAGTTTTCGCGCACAGGTCCGAACGAATTTTTCTCTCAATTCAGTTCACCTTGATGGATTTTCGTCATCCTGGGCTTGTTGGAAAGATCAGGACCAAGAAAATCCATCCTGGTAGCTCTCATCTCAATATGCACGGCGGTGCAGCTTCTATGTCCTCTCGAAACTACTTCACGATGCCTCGGAAAGGCACAGCAACTTGATCTTGGATGGAGAGCCAAGGATTATTTATAAAAAGTAAAAAGGACCAAGGAACTACAAGTTACACTATGATGTCCACTAACACCACCAGTTAGGGGTCGTCGCAAAAGTTTTCTGTCGTCCCTGAAACGAACATCGTTCATTTCGTACTTGGACCCCCTCCCCTCCCTCTGAAACGAACACAGCTTGCTATGCTGGACGACGAAAATCGCATGCATGTACATGTCATATGTACAGTGTCGGTCGACTTGCGATTTTGGCTCGCACCCCCTCCCCCCCAAATGAATCATGTTCGTTTCAGGGACGACAAAAAACTTTTGCGACGACCCCTTACTAGTCCTGTTTACTTTTTATAAATAATCCTTGGCTCTCCATCCGAGTTCGACTTGATCTCACATTCTTTTTCGGTTTATTGTTCCAGTTCAGCCGATTTTCACGATTCAAACTGCGCTGCAAAGCTGAGATCCACGTGCTTCCGCTGATGTCCATTACGCATACGCTGTGCCAAAGGGAATTCCCCTGGCATGCAACAGAAAACTGCGAACGTACGAACAAAAAAATTAACGATCGCTCAGTGCCGTGAATTTCGTGTTCACACCATCGCCGCTCCGTCAATCTTTCTCCTATCGCAAAGAACTTTATATAGCTGGAAAGCTGAGCTCAATACCTTTCCAACGGTGTATCAATTGTCGCGATAGACTTATTTCTGACGGAGTTACGAAAGTCTGTACACTGATCTATGCACTGCGATGTACTGCGCAAATCTCATGACATCTATAGACCTCATTAGTCGTTTGGCGTACAGCGCGCATGACGTCTATAGACGTCATTAGCACGGAAAGGGTTAGTAATTGCACTTCAAGAAGTAGAATTTCAAAAACAGTTGGTAGTATGCAAAACTTAGCAAAAAAAGAAAGAAGCAAAACAGACCCAGAAGGTTGGCAGGTCTGGAAGATGAGTGTGACCATAATCATGTCTGTTATGTGTGGTGCAGTGGTTTGGATGGCCCATTTCCAAACACACAGGGATACAGACAAGCACCTCTCTCTCCCCCCGCCCACACACACAAGCATTTTCTCTTTCTCTCGTGTTAGTGGAACAGTGCGTACTGCTCGTGCACATCAAATGGGGGTACTTGCGACACTGTACCCGCTCTTCACAGAAATTGCACATGCCAACACCATTACTAAACAGTGCTAGCCGGTGAAATACGACCACTGGCTCCAGAATTGCACCACGGTTCGCATGGTGCACGTATGAGCTGTGCTGGGTTGCATAGCTGCATGACGCAAGAGACTGCCTGAGTCGGGGCGTGGATAATGCGCCTGTAGTCAGATTTCATTGGCCGTGTATGTGTGCACATCCAATGGCAAGCTTACCTTTGGAGTTGTATTCTGCAATCTGAGGCAGTAGATCTGTGACAAGTTCAGCAGATAGAACATCCTTGCATGTCTGAGTCGCTACCTTATGCTGTTCAAGACGCTTGACTTCCCGGAAGCCGCGCTTGGTCTGAGGCAACACAAGACAAATTAACAAGCTTGAAGCAGGATTCACAGAAGCATTTTGTGATGCGATGCGAATTCACGAAATACCACTCAAGAAAGACGTCATCGCCTTGCTGATTCGCCTCAGGAGCACAATGCAGGGTGCACAATTCACTGCCATTCGAGTAGGTGGGTACAAATTGTACATATCTAACGCTACACGCAGCTAGCTCTTGATCCTAGTGTACACCTCTTGCTGAAAAGAAGGTCCAAATCACGCAACGCGTTGCAAAATTTGTGCTGAGCTCAACTTCTGTGATGAGCCAGTTGCGATACTTGCGTATGCTGCGCAGTGGATGCGATTCGCGGTTTTCCTGGTTTCGCAGCCATCGCGGTGTCGCATTTAACTTGCCGCAACCCTAGTATATACCGGCAGCGCTATCTATACCCATGGTGGTGATTGTTAAATATTAATTTGTGAGGGCCCACCAAGAGCATGGCATCGTGGAGTCACATCTGTAGATAGATTCTATCGAGATCCATTGAGATTTATTACAATAACAGTTTGGAAGCCTAGCAACCCGTCCAGTGACCCCCTTATAATCCAGCACCATTCGTGCGAGAGAAATTCTTCTTGGCTAGGGGGTTCAGAAAGTGGTGGACATCACGCAACTGCATTGTAAATAAAAAGGGGGTTTGCCAACTGGCAACCGCTCTATTCAGTTGCTATTCACTCTGCGCATGCGCTGGATGAAAACTCTTTTATTAGTGATGTCAAAAAATTATTGACGTTTCGGGCCAGTCATGACGTCACCTGACGATGCCTGACTGGCCCGAAACGTCAATAAATTTTCGACATCACTGATAAAGAATTTTTATCCAGCACGTGCGCGAAGAGTAAATAGCAACCGATTTGGGCCGAATTGAGGATCAAAAACCCACTTTAAATCTCAAAAATCTGGGTTTGGGATCTGCTTCTCCGTACATTTTGCCATGGCATACCCATCCTAATTTTGTAAAACCTGGCTGAATTTCTATTTCCCTGTTCTTGGACTTTTCTGGCCTCAAATGTGGCAAGGAGTAATTGCACGGGTCACACAATGCAGGATGTACTGTGGTCTTCACGATATCTACAACTACCGTAAAGTACCGCCAGAGCGCCCCACCTTGATTTTACAGCCAGGGAAAGGAAAATCGTATGGCAGAATGCAACGAAGTTTGTACGGTGTGAGAACCTTAGTGTACTAAGGTCACAATAAGCAGGTTTTTGTGTGGAGCTCGTGTCCGCTCGAAGGTACGGATTGTCTGCACAACTTGCAATATGTGTACGAAGTTCGTGTCGTATGCCCTACAGACAGGAGACCACCTCCACAATACGACCAAGAAAGGACGAGATGGTGGGGCGCTCTGGCGGTACTTTACGGTATATGCGGCAGACACCAACAAGTTAGGGTGCCAGTTTCCAATGAATGGACTGTAGGGAGGGTGCTAAATTAATAAGTTCATCCGGTTGTAATGTGTGTACGTGGGCTGTTTTGTGTGTGTTTGGTTGCCGAAAATTGCGGTGGTTTATCGAGGGTCCATTGTTGTGTTGTCTAATGAGCTCTGCCCCCGTGGTATTCGTGAACTTTCAGCACACTGGCTGCACCCTTAGTTATATCCGCTAGAAATTTATCAAATAGAGAGGTGAAAATACTACAATTCATGTACTTCTAATTTCAAATTTTCACAAAAAAACTCACCTCGAATTCTTTTACAAAGAAGCGCTGCTGTCCTTGCAAAGCAGCTTTGTGATCAAAGAGGCGCATGAAAACATGTCCAACATCTACAACAACAAGTCGAGGGTGATCCAAGTCCGGTAAAAGGTCACATTCCCTTACAACCACTCTGCACCGCATAGCACCACTCACCTCGGCTGACTTCATCAGTGGCCGCCATTTTCTCTTGCACATGCGCCACGTGCTGCGTTGCTTTATTCGTATTCTCGCAAACCAGCTTGGCAAGGTAAATAGCAGTTTTTTTGTCTCTTCTCTTTGTAAATTTTAGTTACTCTTTCAAGAAAGCCATGGCTGTATTGGGATCAGAGGCTTGCTTTGAGCCAGTTTGGTTTGAGCGACAGAGGTTCGAAGACGCCGAAAGTCAATATCAGCGATTCCTTATCGGTGGCGCACCTTGCGCGACCAAGGTGTGTTATTCGGCCTTGGTCACTGTACATAACAATGCCTGATTAGAAATGGATGTATGGATAGTGGACTTTGCAGAAGACATCTCTGTGGGCGATTTCTTTCTCGTGTAGTGTTGGGAGCAACCGAAAGGATCTCTGTTTGCGAATGAATTGGAAAGTTTGCTCCATAAATAGTCCTCTGTGTGCGTGCGTGCGTACTCACTGTAGGTACTGGTTCAACACAAACACAAACTAGTGCGTGGTGACAGCACTATTGCCCAGGAGCTAGAACGTGCCCGTTCTAACATCCAGCGCTGCTTGTCCAAACAGGTCAGGGCACAATCCTGAAACGCCTGTTTCTTTTGGCTACATGTTGTTCAATTTTCTTGCAACTGCTGCTTCATCACACGGCTCAGACGGTGAAAATATGATACCCATCGCATGTCCCGATTTGTGCATTGCCACTATGACTCTCACACGCATTGTTAAAATTTAATGTTGTTGAATAATGGAAGTCTTATTTGCACTTGTTTGAGCCGGCTTTGCCGCAGCAGCTGTTTGCGCATGGTCAATAATAATGATTATAGTATTGTTGTGATGGTCGATAACGATAACACAATAATAATAATAATATCAAGCACTAATTGGCTGATTGCTTGACATACCTGTCTTGAAGGTTCCAGAGCCGAGACTTCATTGTTTTGTGTTGTCTGTGTTGTTATTCGCTTACTGTTGGTTTCTTGTACGCAGGGTGCTCCTACCAAGTCTGTTGAACTCACACCAGAAATGGCTGCCCGTGTCGAAGCCGTTGAGAAGGAGAACCGCACCCTGCGCCAGACTGTGTCAGGTCTTCAGTCTCAGGTTGAAGCACTTGCAAAGCGCCTCGCCGCACTCGAGTCCGGCTCAGGTGCTGCTGCCCCTGTTGCTGAGCCAGAACCAGCACAGGAGGAGGAAGAAGAGGACGACTTCGACCTCTTTGGTGATGATGCTGAGGAAGATGACGAAGAGAAGGAGAGAGTAAAGGCTGAGCGTATTGCTGCATACACAGACCGCAAGTCAAAGAAGACCGCTGTCATTGCCAAATCTAACATCATCCTGGACGTCAAGCCATGGGATGACGAGACCGATATGAAGGAGATGGAGAGACTTGTTCGTACCATTGAGGTGGACGGTCTGTTGTGGGGCTCTGCCAAGCTCGCTGAGGTCGGCTATGGAATTAAGAAGTTGGTTATCAGCTGTGTCGTCGAGGATGACAAAGTTGGAACAGACTTGCTTGAGGAGGAGATCACCAAGTTCGAAGACCTTGTAAGTGCATGTAATAGTAGTTCTCTTTTTTGTATTCATTGGTAATGCAGCTTTGGGCTGAAACGATCGTGGATTTTCACCTATCGATTACTCTTTAGCTTAATTAACGATCAATTATAATCGTTAGCAAATAATGTCAGAATGTTGTGCCAAAATTACTCTGTTTCCAAAAGCTAGGCCTTTGTAATACCATAAATCTGCAGTAGTAGATATCCTTAGCTAAAAAAACGCTAACGTAAACGCAAACCTTTCCGTACTTCGGATCGTTCAAGCTGACTTTTCCCTTAGCACAAAGTACGTTATAGTTGAGACGAAGTAGTCGTGACAACCATGGCGATACGAATTTTCGTAGAAACAGGTGCGGGAAATTCAAAATTTTGAACCAGGGATTAGTTTGCTGTCGTTCCGAAAGAATACCTTGGCGAGGTCTTTTACTCTGGAATAGCAAAAGCACGGCGAAAATGAGTTTTCGCTGTTCTCAGGTCCTTGGAAACCCTTTCCTAAACGCAGAACCGAAGACTGTAAGGGTTCTCCAGCTCCAGCACGTCTGGGAGAGGCCGATGAATTTCTTCCTCAGGAGTGCCGTGGAACTGGTCCTTTGTTTCCCAGATGGGATAGAGGGAGAAAGGCACGAAGCAGAGGACGCAGAAATTGTCAACTGAAAGGCAAAAGTCGCCAAAAAAGCTGTATGTCACAAGAGGAAGCAATCTCGACTCTCGATCTCATCTCGATCTGTACGACGTGCTTTTTATCTCCCGCCAGTTACAAAACAATGCGAGTTTTTGCATTTTTTGCAGAATTTCTATAACGAACGTCGGCCCGTTATTTTGAGCTCTGTAACGTTTTTCCGTTATCCGATAACGTCTTTTGTCACGGCTGGGAGTGAGTACCGTAAAAGTTAGCGTTATCGTACTTTTGCTAAGGATGTCTAGTGACAGTGTTACCCGGTAGCTCCGAAACATGGCAGTTCTAAAGTCAATTTCACCTCGGAATATGCACCATGCCAACTGCATACTCACAGTGGAAACTGATTCAAACTTCACAAAACAAGGATTTTCAGTACTTTTTGGACTCAAAATCCCTAACGAGTAATCTATAACGTAACGATTACTTGATTGATAAGGAATTCTCGATCGTTTACCGAGTAACTGGTATAATCGTTTCAGCCCTAGACCGTCACTAATGCTATGGGCTGAGGTGAAGTGATGCCAGACACCGAACAGCCCGAATAACGCACTTTCCTATGGCTCTGGAAGAACCAGACTGTCTGATTGTGTGAGGCTCTAGTGATGCCTTCAGTAAAAAAGGTGATATGCTGTACAGGGTCCGCAGTGGTGGGGGCTGAAGCCCCAGAAAAGCTGTAAAGTACCGCCAGTGCGGCTAAGGTCCTATGATGTAAGAACCTGAGTGCACTATGGTCACACATGGCCCCTGAGCAGCTCACTATTTGTGTCGACCTCACACCACCACTGAAAGGTGCAATGAATGAGAGCGGATTTACTGTGCAACGTCGTGCAATGTTATTAATTGTACAATGTTCATGTTGTATGACCTACGGTCAGGACATGCACATCCGCCCCGCACCCTAACCATGACCACAAGGGGGTCTGGGTGGTGGGCGCTCTCCCCGCACTTGACTGTATACAAGTATGCATCATGATCAAAGAGGTTCTGCACAACGAAAATTCGAACGAAGTTTCGCGACAGCCTTGCGAGTTCATGTTGTATGACCTACGGTCAGGACATGCACATCCGCCCCGCACCCTAAGCATGACCACAAGGGGGTCTGGGTGGTGGGCGCTCTCCCCGCACTTGACTGTATACAAGTATGCATCATGATCAAAGAGGTTCTGCACAACGAAAATTCGAACGAAGTTTCGCGACAGCCTTGCGAAAATGTGTACGAATTTTCGCACGAATTTGCACATTTTCGTAGTTTGCATGCGCCAAGTGCACGTACGCCATGACCCGATCTCACGAAACTTCCCACGAAAGTTCATTTCGCGTTCCCTGCAAGTTTCGCGTCCAAAGTTGCGAAAGTTCGTGCGAAGTTTCTCACTTCGTGACGTGGAGCGAAAGTTCGTACACATTTTTGTTTTGCAGAACCTCTATGATCAGCTGAGAATCACTTCTTCGGTGCAGAAAGCTCTAACTTTTGTGTTCAGCGGACATTAAACACCTTACTAAAATACTCAGATGCAGCAGTGGGGTACTGAGCCTGTGAAAATGTCAGGGCCTTCGCTCTCCAGCTTTTTATTACGGCAGCTTTCAGTGTCCTATCTGTGGATTTCCAGGAATATTGCAGTGGATTTTCTCAAAATGCGGTGGTGTGAAACGTGTGGATTTTTCCCAAGGGGTCAGTCTTAGTGGAAGTACACTGCACATGCATGAACTTGACAACATGTATTGCTTTGCCTTTCTTCAATTTGTTGTGTGCTCAGGTCCAGAGCGTGGACATCGCTGCCTTCAACAAGATTTGAGTTAATTACCACTTTGAATTCGTCCTGTTGTATTTAAGAACTCTCTGTCCCTTTTCTCCAGTCTTCCCGGTTTTATACCTGATTCGATCAAAACTGCTGGCCAGCATGAAAGCCACCTTGTCGGGTGTGGTTTGCGTTCCAATCTTCAATGTCTGCTGGTGTGGCAATGTGTGCTTGCGTGTGTGTGTGCAGCTGCATGATGGTCTGTTCCGATGGTTTCAGCGAGGCATGTGAGTTGTGTAGTGAACAGCATACTCGCTTGCTATGCTGTCCCTCCCATGAATTCTGCTGGGTGATTAGAATGCAACTTGTACCGCAGATTTTGATGTGGCCTTGGATTCCACCAGGGATTATCTAGGAGTTCATGTGGCAGAACAGGCAACAAATAGAATGATCTCTCCAGTTGTGCCAATGGGGCAGGCCAAAAAATTAATTTGGACGACGGGCCATCTCGCCTTTATTCCTTGAGCAATGAATGGATCGACTAGATTTGAGAAAACTTGTGCTAGGCAGATAGCAGATAATAGAGAGGTTAAGTTACACGTTTTTTGCCCTTTTTCAAAACGCGGTGCAAATGTCACGTTACGTGTAATTTTTAGAGGTTTAAAAGTTACACGTGCGACGTGACGTGTAATTTTGCCTGGCAGGATTCGGGTTTAGTTCGCACAAATATCAAATCTTCCAACGAACTCGATAAAACTCATTAAAATCCCGGAAACTCACACAAATTCGGTCAGAATAACCAAGCGAAACTTCCAAAAACTCACGTCATGAACTTACGTGCGGGACAGTCAACTCGCGTAAAACACGTCAAATTTTACGTGAGTTTTTTCACTTTTTGACGTAAAAGTAATAATAATAAAAAAGTTCATGGACGTAAGACTTTTACGTGAAACTTAAAGCAATGTGTGCAGCAATTTTACAGTACAGTGTACGTTGTACCCCTGGGGCACATGTTTTGGAAGTAACTATTACTTAACAGAGAGTCGATTTCGTATGACAAATTGTTTTAGGCTGTATAAAAGACTGGTTTTGCCAGATCAGTGTAGATGAAAAGCAGGGAGTCGTACAATGTACAATGGGTATTTTACGACTCCCTGATGAAAAGTTGATGCCTCGCATGCTTCTAACCGGAGGGGCATGATTGTATTCTACTTCGAAGTACAGAGCTGGCCATATTGTGATTGTTTGCACTGCATTTCCGTGAATATCGTGGACAACTTTTCATGAACGACTCCGCATTCTTTTTTCGCTGCTGCCAAGTTCGTTTTGCAGAATCTCACTACATGCACAGCAGCACTACAAATTTTTTTTTATTACATGTGTGTACCTGACTACAGTGCCCTCTCAATGAAAGGACTCAAATCAGTCATGATGTAGTCAACGTTGTTCCTTTGACCAGTGAACGTACCAGCGTTTGCAGGTCTAGATCTGCACAGCGCACACTTGCACAATCGGATTTCATTGGCAGCACTGTCGTCTGTAGCATACTGTAAAAGCAAGAATTTTCGGTGGTGTAATATTTTCGGTGTTTCCCAAAATTGAGGGTATGGTAGCGCGAAAATTTCGGTAAACCAGTTTTCCGTACTGCAGTCGTCATGCATGTACGTACATTTTCGGTGCGTTTTATTTTATTTTTAGGTATTGTCGGCACCGAAGTTAAAGGGGAAGTTAAGGCAAAAATTAAAATTTCACCAGTTGTAGTCTTTGGGGTGCTGAGTCGAATGGTCTTGGTCCGAGGAAGCTGAGACGCTCCCTTCCTCCTTTATTCCCAATCGAACTCGCGCACTTCCACCGAAACTGGGTGACTGCGCCCTACTAGATGGGGATTTGTATGCAAAATGTCACTAAAAGCGGCGTTTCGTTCTTATAAAAGCACGGATGACCGCGATTGGCCCATAATTATGTTGTAGTCTTTTGGACGCTGAGTCGACTGGTTTTGGTCCGAAAAGGCTGCTATGCAGCGTTCCTCCTTTATTCCCAATCGAACATGGTTGAACACGCGGTCACGTGCTCCTGCGTACACCAGTCAGCTGGTCACCGTGCCTGCAGGGTACAACTTACTAGCCTGTTTGACCTTTTTTGGGTGCAGTCCTGTCACTCGAGTTGAACCTTGGTGTGAAAGTTGTCGCCTGCTGGCGTGGTGACCAGGTGATTTGGGCACCCAGGAGCACGTGACCACTTGTTCAACCATGTTCGATTGGGAATAAAGGAGGAACGCTGCATCGCAGCCTTTTCGGACCAAAACCAGTCGACTCAGCGTCCAAAAGACTACAACATATGGGCCAATCTCGGTCATCCGTGCTTTTATAAGAACGACATGGCGCTTTTAGTGACATTTTGCATACAAATCCCCATCTAGTAGGGCGCAGTCACCCAGTTTCGGTGGAAGTGCGCGAGTTCGATTGGGAATAAAGGAGGAAGGGAGCGTCTCAGCTTCCTCGGACCAAGACCATTCGACTCAGCACCCCAAAGACTACAACTGGTGAAATTTTAATTTTTGCCTTAACTTCCCCTTTAACGAAAATTAGACACCATGTACCACCGAAAATTTCTGCTTTTACAGTACTCGATTGACTGTCATGTGGGCTGTAAATCGGTATGTTTTACATTTATGTAGCCAGTAGGTGTCCATACACCATGGAGTATGTATAGATTTCCCCCTGCAACGCTGGAATTTAAAAGCAATGGTGGACAGTGTACCTTGTTTTCCACTGCACTTCAGTGCTCTTGCAAGGAGACAACTTGATATGCACATACTGGTACAGACGCACACGTGCACATAATAATCATTACCGGTAAGAGTAAATATGCTGGGAGTGCATTCTACTCTTAATAGTATTACAAGCAATCCAAAGGCTCTATGAAGTGGCTTTTATAAAATGATTGTGCTCAATTTGTTTAGCTTGGCACAGGGAACTTGTGAAGTCGTTGCGGGAAGCCTTGACAGACGTGCCTACCTGGTGATGAAGTAAGCAATGCAGAAAATGGTGCATTCCAATTCCAATTTCACTCTTGAAACAGAGTGGTATATTTTTTTAAAATAGTGCATATCCATTGGGAGGGGGGGGATTGGGACTCAAGGTTTATTCTGTAGCTCAGGGTATTAACTAGTAAACATATTGTGTAGCATCAACTTTCTGTCACAGCTCATCGCGCTGCTTGGATACAGTTTTGTGCGGTGCTGTGTTCACGTCCCGATCTGTGGGGAGGTCTTCAATTTCATCCGCCTCCAAGTCTTCATCGTCCGGAGATGCGACTCGGATTCGGCTGCGCTGTATATTAGACTCGCTGATCGTTTCATCGTCCTTGATGCTCCTGCTGCTTGCATCAGTTGTCTTCCAGAATGGCAGGAGTTTGGATTTGCTGAGGAAATCTGTTGCTTTGCCTCTTGGCTTCCAGTCGGATTTTAACATATGTCCTGGACAAATTTGCAAGATCAGAGGATGTAGAACGGACACCACCAGCATTCACTGAGGAGAGTGGGTAAGAATTATTTCTGGGAGTTTTGATTAATTTATTTTTTCAGCTTTTTGTGGCCTCAAAATGTACCACGTGCATGTACCCTTTACTACCATACATCTTTTTCAGATTCTGTTCAGATATAGAGTCTATACCCACTCTGCTGAAGTGGCTGTTTGGTATCTTATGTTGCCCAGGTGATGTAGAAGACCCAGTAAAGACTGCATGATGTTCTTGGTACCCTAGCTGGCTTGGCCAGGGTTGTTACTCAATCATAACCGGTACCCTGCCAAGTTCAATAGTGCTGCCACACGTGCCCTTACCAGTTGGGTAGGCTCGGCCCTCATCAAAGCTTGTGAGAAAGTCGCGGATTGCTTTCTTACTTGGAGAGCCGGAAAATTCAAATGCTGATTCCTTCAGCAGATTCGGGTAAGCAGAAGAAACAGTTGTGTTCAGAGTTTTGCTCACAGCTGCAGGGAGTGCATGCACGTGCAATGTGTGGCAGGTCATGATCATTGAGTATTGCCAGGGGCGTCAGACACTACGGTATTGACTACCGGTATGCAACTATTTTCCGCAGTAGCCTCACAAATCAATAAAAATGTCCTGATTTCGGCTCCATTTTTTCAAGAATTTCAGCAGAGCGCCTGTAGCAGTAACAGTAGCAGGCACACGGTGGAAGATATGCAAGGTAGAACACTTACTGCCTTCATGCTGATCAATGTGGCACTTGCATCCTCAAGACCTATGTTCAGACTGCGTTGTATCTCATCCAGCCCAGGTGTGCTCCTGTGTATACAGAATAACATTGTAGCAGTAAAATAAGAAATGAAAAGGTGATTGTGACTGTGGTTTGCCAGAGTGAATTAAAGATGCATTGTATAAAACTGGTCATGCAACCACCGGTCATGCAACCACCGGTCAATGATTTAATAGGTCCTAAACTACATGTAGTGCACATTCTCCCCCCCCCCCCCCCAACACCACATCATCCTTACTTGGAGAGCCAGACGAAGCAATAATGGGCCTCAAACTCCGGCTCCAATGCAACCGCCTTCAGTGATTGCAAGAGCTTCGCCCAGTATGGCTGCTTCTGTGTCTGTGGTGTGCTTGCGTTTGCCTTGGGTGACTCGAGTTGACCAATGTAGACAAATAGTGTCTTGCCTTCATCTAGCAGGCGACCTGCATTGGCCGGAGTGAGCTGACCCTGTAACGACAGTGGTAAGACACGTTTATAGCCGCATTGTGTGCAAGACAGACAGGGGCTGAAGGGACTGGTACAGGCTCAGGCGCGTGCCCCGTATGGTGCCCTGGGTGCCCCCTTTTTCGCTCAAAATGCAGGATTTTGCTTCATTTTTTTGAAAAAATTCCCGGGAGGCCCCAGAACCCCCCCCCCCTTAAAGGGCACCGGCGCACGCGCCTGAGGCTTGCTGCCGGGGAGTCTGTACCAGTGGAGCAGGACTGACAACACCAACCTAAGGTCTCGGCGCTAGCACTGGCCAACGCACCGTAAAGAAGAACAGAGAAAATGAAGAGTGGAAAAAATAGTGGAGAGATGCAAGGGAGTAGTGAATTAGTAGCACAGGGCTACCCAGAGTTAATTCATTGATTCGGGTCACTCCACTCATCAGTACCCGACTTTTTCGGTTTCTGCCATGGATACATGTATAATATCTAGATTGTGCATATTGAATATCCAAGTTTTTGTCCATCGAACCAGTCGGTCAAACCCGATCGTTGACGATCCAGTGCTGTCAGCACTATATCTTGACCGTTGCTGGCGAATGTGTCTTACGAGCAGCTCTCACCAAAACTTCTGTCATTGAGCGACGAGGTGGCGGTGCTGGTGATGTTTCAGGAACGATTGCGGATCGAAGATAGAAGGTGAAATGACGATCAAACTCCGACCAATGTCGTCACTAAGCGCTGCATCCTGTCATTTGGTTGCTTCCGAAGTCGGGACGGTTGAAAATCTATAGTGATCTGTGGATCAGGCAGTCGCGAAGATAGAAGGTGAAATGACGATCAAACTCCGACCAATGTCGTCAATAAGCGCTGCATCCTGTCATTTGGTTGCTTCCGAAGTCGGGACGGTTGAAAATCTATAGTGATCTGTGGATCAGGCAGTGGAGCTTTCGGCGCGAAAGGCCCTACCATTGACAAAAAGTGTTGTCCTGTCCAACATGGATGCACACACCGCTGGCATGATTCAAACATGTTCTATTTCGTCCGTGGCTGCTCTGAACAATGTTCCATTGAGGCGAAATCAATATGTGAGTATGTTTGCAGCCTATTCCTTGCTCCTTGCTGTATTCGGGCGTGCGCAGGGACTCATTAGGATCGCGTGTGTCACGCACAATACCGTTAATTCGGTGGCCCAATTTTTTTGTAGCACGTGAAGTGATATAGCAAACCTCTGGCCCAATGCCACCAGCTGGCATGTATATCTAAATACTTATGCATTTCACGGCTCTTGAACAGGTGTAGGAATTTGTGGCCATATCATCGCGCACCCTTTATATGGCACCAGCCTGCGGGAACCACCTGAGCAGTGTCCTAGCAAATTGCGGCAATGCCCTGCATACTCTCACTGGGGGTTTCAGAATTGAACTTTCTTACCATTCTTGGCTGGGTTCCCTGCTTGAAGAACGTTTTCATGTTGTCCTCGGTGAACTTTCCTGGCATCAGCTTTGCAGGCTCAGCCAGATCACGGGGCTTAAGGAGCAGCAAAGCGGGGACTCGAGCATTGTGCTTTTCAAGTCTGTGTTGCACGAGATTGACACAGTAACCATGAAAGCCGATAATACACACACACACACACCACACATACACACACAGCACACGCACAGAAACACTCGCACGCACGCACACGTGGACACACACACACACCATATACCCCCCCCCCCCCCCACACACACACACATGCACGCACGCATACACACACCATTGGACCATTGGACGCCCATCGCCGGAGGCGATGATAGCGATGCTACAGCAGAAGCCATAGCAGCTTGTGCTGGGATTGCACCATTCAACAGCTTGCAAGGCTGAAGAATTGACCACCACTATTCAGCCTGGTCTACACCACACAACTATGAAGTGGGTTTTTCTGGCCAGTGAATCCCTACTTTTTGGTCTTTTTTTTCTTCTTTTTTCATTTTTTTCACACACACACATCACACCACATACTCCGGCATGCACTGGCTGTTGGTAACCACCCAGGAGAATGAAAGAAAAGTCAGGAGGAGTCTGAGAAAGAGAAGAAAGATGTGTGTGACCATAATCGTCGGGAATCGAACCCGCAACCTATAGATTGGAAATCGCTGCACATACCACTGCACCATATGGGACACACACACACACGCACACGCACGCGCACACACACACACACACACACACACACACACACACACACACACACACATTTCAGTCAGAATGGGCGTCATATGCACAGAAAACATATAACATGCAGATATACATTGTGCCACGCTGTCACCCTGTGATTTCTTGCATTACATCATGCATATGTACTCGTCATGCATATGTACAAAGTTATTTTATGACTCCATGATTTGTAGTCCTTTCTCCTTGTCATGCTTTTCATGCACATGCTTGAGAGATGATGATAGTCTTTTCCTCTTGCAATGACCTAGTGCAACGCACTGTGATTAGGTCTATGTGAATGTGAATGGGGTCAGAAGTCCGACTGAGAACACACTCACGCACAGGATTGTGTACGTTACGCATGTGCACCTCCTGTACACGAAGCATGGCAATGTCACAATGTACATGGCTTCATCTAGTTTCCCAACCAACTGCTGCACTGCGGCCACGGCAATATCCTAAACATCTGCATAAGGTTTTAAAATGTACACGACCATTGTGCTGCCTGCCAACCGATGGCCAGCAAACCACTGTGACTCACAAATAGGTCAGGAGATCACCAACAGCATTCACAAACAGGAAGCGTCCCTTCCACTTGCCAGCCATGCTGCTGAAGGCAGCGAACTCTGTGCAAGAAGACAAGGCAACACTAGTTCAGGGTTGGTGCGGGCGAAGTGTGTGACCTAGTACACTGCATGCTCTTGGTCTTCTTTACTTGGCATGACTTCTGCCTGGGATCAAAATTGGGGGAAAGGACTCAGTAAAAGGAGTCTTTCCAAATCTTGATCTACCTTGCTTCAGTTTAGATGACTACACGCCCTACTCAATGGCAACAACTGCTGGAGTCTCAGTCGGTCACAGATGTAAAAAAACAAATATCTGCTACTGCTGCCCTTGTTATCCAAAAATCATATTTTTAATCGCAGTACCGGTAGCAAAGTTCCAGTGCACCAAGCCAGCCTGGTGTCTTCATGCAGCAAGGTGGCCCGTAGATTAGGCAAAAGGCATTTCTGATTCCAGTGCATTCGGTGGCTGGCCTCCAGCACACAGCACACAATATCTATCCACACTGGAGGGTGCAGTTGCAATTGGCTGCTCACCAGTGAGTTGGCCCGAGCTCAGCAATGCCACAGCGACGGTCTCACTCATGCTCCCGTACTGCTTTAGGATGAGATCGATAAGCTGCTGCCGGGTGGATAGTTGCTTGACAGCGGGTTGCAGGCGACTAAAAGAAATGAGAAGTAAATAACGTTAAAAGCATTGTTTTTTAATTAACATGTCATGTTGTCGACTATTTAAAAAAGAGCAAAAGCACCCCCCCCCCCCCACACACACACTAACAGTGTGAAAGGACCATTCTCCTTGTTTCTGGTTTACTGTTTTGGCGCAAATAGGGCATGTCTGAAGTGTATTTATGCCAGAACGGAAATAGTGCTAAGTTATCAACCATAGCATGTGGGCATAATAATTCCTGTGTTTGTGTGTACATGTGTGTTTACTTATGCGTGAAGCCGCGGATGTGTGTCCGTACGTGTATGTGTGTGTGTGTGTGTGTCCGTACGTGTGTGTGTGTGTGTGTGCGCGCGCGCGCGGGGGCGCCCGCTACACACAAAGAAAGCCATCATTTACTCAATGCAGTGTGTTCACAGGCTTACAGGTTTATGGTCTTGAAGACTGTTCCGTAGTCCAAGTAGTCTCTGTACTTGACATGCTTTGCGGCCCTGCAAGCATCGAGCAGAAGTGCATGTCAAATTCCACCGTCTTCATATGCTTGGATAAATAAATGAGCGTTGTTCAAGCATCAGCACTGAAACATACACACACTCGGGTATGTTGCTCAGCATGTCAGGCAGTGGTACATCTCCACATCTCCAGTTAACTCAGTGAATGACACGTAGCAGCTCGTGTCGCTGAATGTCGGAGAGGCTCATGAAGCCGGGTCCTTTCAATTCCGTCGCTGCCGTTTGGCGCGGGCAGCACAGTCAAACTTACTTTGACCCCTTCTGCTGGGTTACAAATGCAATGGACGGCGTGTGTCTGACGTCTTGCCGGTTGCAGACGTCGACCAATTGAGCACAGTTGATGGCTCGGAATGCCACCTCGGCTTCTCTGCCTGAAGAACATACAACCGTGCAGAAAATCATTGTCATCATTCAGGAACTTGGCAATACTGCAATGATTGTGTCGCAATGCAGAGCAATATCATATATGCGAGCTTCCAGAAATGTTATGCATCATTCAATAGGCCTTTGCGTGCCAGCTTCAGGGATGGAGAATGCCGCAGTGCATGCCATGAGTGGAGTCGGCGAGGTTGATCGCTTTTTAAAGATGATGCCTAGTCATGAGAAAACATGTTAGCCGGTCCTATTTTAAATCCGAATATGTGTGATAGTAATCACACAGACTGGTGTACAACTACTCAGTGCTTTTGTTGTTGTGATGACATTCCCCAAAATGTCTTCATCTAATCGCGTGCATCTGTGATATGAGCATGTGCGAAGTGGTAATCAAGAGTCTTGTGTGTTTCAGTCTGTTTGTTCTTCCCTTGGATTTGTAGTTATCGTTTTTAGTTTCAGTAACTCAACAATAATGTAGAGAGACAATACATACTCATCCTTTGTGTTCCTGCTTTGTGTTCCAAGGAATGGCCGTGTATCTGTAACAAGACTGGGGTAAATTACCTTTGAATTCCCCTGCAACATCGGACATGACGACCCTAAACACACGTGATGGTGACGTGTCTGCATGTCGACCAAACCAGCGGAACAAGAAGAAACAAACCAGTGTTGCATCAGCAGGAATTGGCATGTTCATATTGCACTAGGAACTAAACTGATTCTCGCGGTAGTCTTTTCACTATCAACTAAGACGCAGGGGAAGTCTGGCCTGAGTTTCAACCGGACACTTATCGATATGTGATTGCCCAACTGCACTGGCTTTATCGGAATACACTCGGGTACTCCCCATCTGCAATTCACCAATCATTACCAAGCTGAAGTTCAGAAGGACGTCTCCCTACTTCTAGATACTCCGAAGGCTTCATTTCCAACACAGCATTGGTATGCTGATCTAAACGCACACCAGGGCCCGATGATGTGGGCAATGCGGCATAGCATGGCACTGGGTCCTCTTAAGGTTTGGCCGCTCCATTTCTAAATCGACAGCACCACTGTACAATCACTACAATGCATGATTTAACTTGAGTAAAAATGGCAGTAAGCCCACATTACCATGGTGCAGCACATGTATAGGGCGAAGAAGATGTGCACACCGGCAGGTCTGCGCCAACTAACCCAACTGCTTCTCTTCAATTACAAACTGGCTACAACCCTGCACACTTCCGCCATTATGTACGGTTTGAGAGTGCTTACACCCTGCACACTTCTCGGCCCCTGTGCACAGTTTGAGAGTGCGGCTTACATGGCGTGTAGTAGAGCACTACTACCAGCGGTGCAATCTCATGCAGCCTGGCCATCTCGCCCGCCCTCAGCAGTGGAAGGCTTGCCGTAGGTCGAATCCGCAATAGCTGCTCAAAACGATTGATCCGCTCTGAGAGGTATGCCACGTCGTCACTGTTGCCAATGAATGTAGTCTCAGCCGAATCCTCCTCCTCCTCCTCTGTACATGAAATATACAGTACACAGTTCAGATTTCAATGGATTTCTAACACGGGAATAAGAAGAGAAAAAAGCATATTGGAGCTGTGGACATGAAGGGAAAAAAACATATTGGAGCTGTGGACATGAAGGGAAAAAAACATAATTGCTTTTCCTGTTTGATACATTGCATTGCCCTTCCACCTCAGCCCATCTGATGCAACTTCCCTGCCTGTTTTGAAAGCAAGCAGCTCAGAGCAGCACTCAGGCTGGTATGTCACACTTGAACAACTGCAAGATGCATGGCATACTCAATCTCCGGACAACTAGCCCTTTCAACCCTGTGAGGCTGCCTAGTCATGGCATAGGTAGAGTGCTAGATGTGCAAGGAAACCTAAAGCTCGGGGAGGTTTGTACCATACAATAATTGAGTGATTACTGTATTTTCCCCAATAACGTTATATAATATAAGTCACACCACTTTATGTTTAACTTCTTGGGCAAAGATAGGGGTGCAACTCAGTGGCGGATCCAGGGGGGGGGGGGGGGGCAGGGGGCTGCCCCCCCCCCCTTTGAAAATTTCGACCTTGGTCTAGGATTTCAGTAGACTGTAGAATGAGCGCTCGAAATGACTTGGTGTGTCAAGTGGGTCACGCGGGCTGGGTACTTTTATACAACAGTAACGTGTCCAGTGTCACGCACTAGCACTGTACTAGCCAGCGCGCTGTGTACAACTACTGTACGCACTGCGACCTGAGGACACGGCCGCACTTCAAACATGTGAAAAACGTGCCAAAAATGCAGGGCCTGGTACATAGTGCAGCGATCGCGCTGGGCTGAAGTCCTGTCGGCCGGGAGGGGGGATCGGTGCTGTCGACTTCGTCCTTCCTTTTTTCTCTTTCACTTGTCAGAAACTAAACGCTCTCTCTACTTCGCTTGTAGCCAACGGGTTACCTTCAGATATGCGATGAAGAGGAAGGGTCTGACATCAGGTCGTTCTTCAGTGGACCGGTAGATAAGAGAGCTCGCGTTGAAGAGCCGTCCAAAGGTCCGTCACAGCTGCTGTCGAGTGGAAATGTTCCAGTGCAGTTAGAAAATGTCGTGAGAATGGAATATAACTAGGGACCGGCGGATTCTGCTCGAAAAGCAGTGAAATTGGCAGAACCATACAAACCTTATGGCTGGCAATTCCTCGAATTCTGCTCCATTTCTTTATCCACATACCAAACATGCATGAAACTTACCAGAAAAAGTACCGAATTTTGCCAATTTTTCTGCCGGCAGAACCCGCCGGACCCTAAATACAACAGCTCTTCACAGTAGTAGTAGTAGTATTGATTATTTTGTTAGGACACAACTTCAGGACTTTGTTGTTGTTGTATTAATTTGTTTTTGTTTTTTGTTTTGTTTTTGGGGGGGGGGGGGTACCTTGGGCCCCCTCTTCGGCCAAGTCCTGGATCCGCCACTGCAACTTACAATCGAGTGTGGCATCCTACTTATGTGAATATCATTATAGAAACAATAATTATAGCTGAGACCTGAACGTGGGGGTGCGACTTATAGTCAAGTGTGACTTATAATCAAGTGTGACTTATAATCGGGGAAATACAGTATTGTATTGACAACATAAATGATTAGCAAGTTGTGAAACGATGATGTCACTAGTCAGCTGACCAATTGCAGCTTAGCCAGACCGGCTTCGCCGACCCGTAGTCACAGACTTTCGAAAGCTTGATGTGTTTGTTCCCGCATGGTCATGCTTGTGCCGGGAGATGGTGACGTATCCATTTCAAAACGTGCTAAACCCACTCTGTTTGGGGTAAGGCTGATAGTTACTTAGCTGATTTATAGACGCACACTGATCTGCTTACTATTCCAAGTCATCATATCATCGTCCCACTCCGGCGCCTTCTCACTGTCCCGATCATCCACTTTGGCTTTATTGATACGTTCCCTCTCTGGACATGTACAATGTGCAAAGCAAAAAAAACTTTCATGAAGTCCTAAAGGCAAGACTTTACCCATATATGCATGCTGTAGATTGTTAGGCTGTGTCAGCATGCTTCAAACGTTGCCAGCCTAGATCATAGAAACCATTGCCTCAAAGGCCAACACATGGAGTGGTCTTTACTTTCTCATATACAAGTGCTTCATTTCCTCACACTACCTGGACTCTTTGAAGTCTCCATCTTGGCATTGGGACCGTCCGGCTTTCCTTCGGTGTCCAAGTTTTCCTTCTTTCGCTCGGCAGTTTTCGGCTTGTCCGGCAGTGGTGGATATCTTTCCTGTTCAGTGTCCTTTGTGGAGACTTTCTCAGGTATGTCTGCTACTTTCTCCTGGACTTTCTCTGCTTTGTCTGGCAATGGTTTGGCTTTGGGTGCAGCCTTCTTCTTCTTCTTCTTTGCTTTGGGCTTCTTGATGGTCCTTGGTGGAGTTGGGGGTGTCGGAAGAATACTCCTGTATGCTGTCTCCACGCTTTCGTAGGTCATGTTGAACACAGCCACTGGATCAGGCCTCTTGCCATCCTATGGAAGCAGAACAGAGCGCATGAATCCCATCATACTACTGACGTCATCAGGTGATTGCACAAAGTACATCCCATCATCATACACCAGTGCATGGCCATATACAATATACACTGGCTTGTCACCGTAAGATAGCAGTGACAAGTATGGCCATGACCATAATTGTTGAAATAAAATAAGGAGCATGATGTGCCACTTCTAGGTGCCAGTGTCACGCTGCAAACATGCGCAGACCTTGGGTAGTGAGATTTATCTGAAAAAAAAGTAAATTATCGGGTCTGTTCCCGACGGGAACTCACGACAGCCGCTAACACCCGGTAAACCCTAGCGGCAGATGCAGCGCCTAAACGGTGGAAGTGAGGGGATAAGTCTCATAACCACTGGCACAAGTGCCGAGAAACCCCATTAGCCGCATCCATCGAGATTTGTCTGAGGAGTTAATGATATGACAGATTGTTGCGGATCAGTGTTACTACCCAGCACAGCACATACTAGTACTAACCACATGACCAAGAGTGCTAAGCTAGGAAGCTTTGCAACAACGCACCTTTGCACCGGGTCGCAGGATGATCAGCGGTTTGCGCAGACTCTCGTCACGCCTGCTCTCTTCAACCAGCGCCTCGACCTCAGGAAACTGGGAAACCGCATTCTTTCTTCGTCTGCACAAACAGAATAGCGCACCCAGTGTCATGGATTGATGAAGAGAAATCTCTATTACCAGCAGTAATCTCATTTTGTCCATCCCAAAAAATGCACTGTATGAAATTGGGCTTAATTAGTTGAACAATTTCAACCAAACGCCGGTGCATGAAAATGGAAATACCTTCTACAACTATTACAAACATACTACCCATTACGTTTCCGCGCAGAGTAGATGGACGCCTCCTAGTGTATGAAAGAAATTATAGTTCCAACTTTCAGGGCCTTGGAAAGTGTGTATGGTGGTATTACACCAACAACGCATTCAAATGATCTGTTCCCTGCCCTCTGTCCTGCCATAGGGTCCCTGTGTGAGACATGTTAGATCATGGACCTGGGTGAAGCTCTCCTAGTCACTCACAGATTCACATAGATTCCTGCGATGCTGCCTTGAAACTTCTTGTTCATGTCGGTGAAGAGCACGCGCAAGGCAGTGCTATATTGTTTAGAATTGCATGGCAGTATGGCCAGAGTTAGACCAAAGTCATTGTGCACAGTCAGCTCGCGCAGTAGCATCTCATCATCTACGACTTCGTCTCCTTCGACCTATGCGCAGGACACATGCGACAGCAAAAAGTAAGCATTGTATGTATCTTGCCAGGTCAAAAAAGGCAGGAGTAGATCAAAAGGCACTGCCATGCCCATACTAGGATTATAAGAAGTCCAGTCCAGAACCGTTCTGCCAGTAAGTCACAAGAAAACATGCCCAAGATAACATGCAAACCTTCATGTTGACCTGGCCCAGCTCCTGGCACTGGCGTGTTGCTGCAACCTACGGTCTATGTTCTACTGACTTGTGACACTCACAACATTTGCGAGGATGGAGCCGAAGAAGAATGACAGCATGCCTTGCGGCTCCCATTGCCCATAGTATCCATTCACAATTCTCGGAAGATGCTCCCCATTGAGGTGAGATGCCCAAAGAGCATTCACCGCTCTTGTTGACACCCTGCAGGTTGGCATGCATAGTTAAGAACAGTCTCTAATCAACAATAGCAATCAATTGCTGTACCGGCAGTACATGTAAACACACACACACACACACACTTACACACACACACACACACTACTACTACTACTACTATAGCATGACTGCCCATTGGGCAATGTCACCCCCGGAGGGGCCAGAGTTTGGAGGGCACCGTCATTGGCAGGACTTCTGGTGCCTCGTCAAATCTTGCTGTCGTCGGAAACGCTTCGGGCAATGCATGCAGATCAGCGGCAGTGATTCCCTATCGGCTGCAGCAAGACGTTTTCCACGGTTGCAGTTATGGCGATTAAAACCAGCCCGGGACTTGCAGCGTTGACAATGCTGAAAGCAGCAACTAGCGAGAGACGCCGTCAATGCCGTATCTGCATGATCAGGGAGTGCAGGCTGGCAGCGATGAACTGCAAGCCCACCCTTACTACGGAACCATCGGCAGCAACTGACGCACTGTGCTGAACCACGCTGTTGGTGGACGGGAAGTTGGCGCTCAGCCAAACACTTGTGCCGTGCCTCGTCTTGAGGACGAGAGAAAGCCCGGTTGCAATATGAGCAGAGTACGGATTTCTCTACTGCCCGAGGAGGCTGAAAAACCAGAACCTGCTCTCGCCAAGCTGACTGGTCTTGTGCGCAATCAAACCAATTTGGAATGGACTTCGTGTCAGTAGCCACAACGTCTCTCCACCTGCGCCTGGGACCACAGAAGGGGCGCGCAGCCAACAAACGACCAAACAACAGCTGCAATGGGACACGGTCCTCCGACATCCGAGCCACATGACCAAGCCACTCTAAACGACGATGGCGCATCTTAACAGAGAGTGGCACTGGGTCACCCCAGTGACGATGTAACTGCGCAGACGTGATGCGATCGGATTGCTGCTGACTGCGAGGGATGGCTAATATTGTGCGGATGCAGCGATGATGGAAGGCATCCAAACGTCTACTATCAGCTTTCAAGGGCGTCCAACACTCACTGCCGTACAGCAAAATGGACAAGACACAGGCCACGTATAGCTTTCGCTTACTGACTAATGACAGCGAGCGATCCGACAAGACTGGAAGAAGAGATCCACACACACACACACACGCACACACATGTGGCAGGCTAAATCCATGAACAATGCGTAGAAGAATGGAGTAGGATTGTCTTTTGCAGGGGCGTCAAACATGGTACGACCAGTGCGACTGCCACTTTTCCTTTTCGTCCCGGAAGGTCCACCCAATTCACCTAAAAAAGCAATAAAAGAACGCTAAAACATGCCCCATTGGCCGAAAATCAGATTTTCCCCCGGGGAACACCCCCCCCCCCCCACCCCCATCCCGGTCATACCATTGCCCACTGCCCTGTGATGCCCCTGTTTAGAACATGCTAATCTACAGTGCTGGAAACTGAAATCCGACCCCCTGACCCCTGAGCGGTGCGCTCACATCGCAAAGACCCAACATGGGATAGTAAAACTACGAAATAGAGACCGCTAGAATGTGAACGCATCGCGAGGGGGTCGGATTTCAATTGCCAGCACTGTAGTAGTACCAGCTTGAGTGTAATATGTGTGGAGGGTGGTGGCCTAACATCAGAACTCTGTGCCGCACGGTGTTGGGTAGACTTGCAGTACATGCACAACTCCCTATACCATTCTGACTACTTGTACACCAGTTTGATCACATGACCCATCACAGGACCCATGCAGCTTACTGTGCATCACCCTGGCACAGGTCCATGTTGTCTGTCACCACCAGCGTCATCTTGTAGCCGTGACGACTGCTGAGGAAGTAGTAGGCAGCTTCCAGGAATGCCTGATGGCCTGTATGTTGCAACCGTTGCAAATAGACAATGTCAAGAGAAGATGAAAACCAGAGCGAGCAGCCCAAGTGGATTGCCGTCATAATACCAAATATGGTGAGGTCATGTACTTTGACCCGATGCACCTCTGGGTCATGGACTTTGACCCCATGCTCCCCTGCGTCATGTACTGTGACCATTATACTCGCTAGGGTCACGTACGATGACCCATAATATGCACCCCTAATGCCCGCACACGGATGAGCAATATGAGATTACTAGTAGTTACCAGATTCTGCCCCTCTCACCTTCTCCATGGTAATCACCTGTGGCAAACACAGCCACTTTGTCGCGTTTGCTCTTGACATTGTCAAACTGGCTCCGGGTTGAGACATATTGCAGCAAGTTGCCACTACCCATCTTGAAGTTGAGTAGCATGGACCTGTCAGCAAGATCCCAATGGCACAGACAGCATACCGTGGACATGCCGGACAGATCGGCCCACCATACTTCCCCTAAAGGGCAAGTTATCTTCCGTGACAAGTCAAGCCTTGGCCACACCAGACAGAATAGCGTGCTCAAGCCTTGGCCACACCAGACAGAATAGCGTGCTCAAGCCTTGGCCACACCAGACAGAATAGCGTGCTCTACTATAGAGTACGTCATGTACTACAGTCAACTTCGTTTACAACAACACTCGGCGGGGCATCAGAAAAGTGTCCTTATTCGCGAAGTGTCGTTATACCCGAAGTCTCATTATATGTATTACAGTTGGATGGAACTTTGCTCTGGGCATGGACATTCTGTCGTTATTCGCGAATTGTCGTTATATCCGCAGTCGTTATTAGCGAAGTTGACTGTATGCGAAATAAGTCATAATGCAGGACCGCCGGAAGCAGCTATCAATTGGTCCGGTCGTACCATAGTTTCATACTGTTGTGTTTGATATGGCTGGGACATGCGTAAACATGCGTTGGTGGCCAGAAAGGTGGTCCGGTGTTAACCTGACCAACCGGACCGGTTCCGGCGGGCCTGTAATGACGAGTCAGCAGTGTTTGCAGAAGGGCTATACTGGCAGTTCAGCTGCACAGTTTGAGATAGAATATATATCAGGGTATTACAAAAAAAATAAAGAGGAAGATAATCCCGCAAGGTGGTGACTGTATGCATGGTCTATAGACCACACTACACATTGCATCATTCCGTGTAATTGCTACCAACCATTGACTGGTGCTAGCTAGATATTGGGAACTGTGTAACACACGGTATGAGATGCAGAGAGCTGTGTAATACACGGTATGAGATGCAGAGAGCTGTGTAATATACGGTATGAGATGCAGAGAGCTGTGTAATATACGGTATGAGATGCAGAGAGCTGTGTAATATACGGTATGAGATGCAGAGAGCTGTGTAGTCAGCATGTAAAAGTCACTTACTGTAAGCCGGCTGCAACCAGTGACACGCTCTTACTGACCACATCTTCTGACAATCGCGTTTGACTGGTCCCGCCGCTAGATATTCAATAGTCCACACACAAGAAACAACAACAAGCCTGACATCTCTTTTGATCCGGCGGGACTGGGCTGATTTTTTCCAACCATTAGACTTCAAAGAGGCTCCCCAAGTGAGTGCCAGAGTTTAAGTTAGCATGTCTGGAGCCACGTCCCGAAACCCCACGAAGCAATACAAGCGGGCATGTCATGACCATGACTTGAGTCTGTGAAGGTTGTGTCTCTCAAATAGTTTTCTCGGCCGGCAATAGAGCTCAGAAACAATAGCCTTTAGGCTCCTCACAATCAACATCCTCAAAGCTCTACCATCAGTACTTTTACTGCCTTCTCACCCAGTGGAGTTCAGGAAAAAGAAACTGTCCAATCACACTGACTTTTATACAGTAGTGATGCGATAGCAACTGCGCCGCAAAGACTTGAAGAGTAGCCAAAACCAACACGGTAAAATGAATCACGCCATACACACAATGGAATGTCAAAACATGCAGTGTGAAGGAACCGGGCAGAAGTGCGATGCACTGCAATGACACTAGACACTAAAGGGACAAAATTAATGAGTTGTTGATGACCTACCAAATACTACTAGCCTAAGTGTGATTATTAGCGTTGTTTTTAGCTACTCTTCTTCCTGCTGTTGCTATCACAGCGCTACTGTATAACATTCATTGGGCTTGTTCAGTTTCTTTTGTGCCTGTCCTCCACGTAAGTTGCGTGACAGGCATATTGCGTCATGCAGCCTTAATACTGCCAACCGTTTGGTGCTACATCGGGTGTATATTAGCACAAGCCGCCCGCATCCTATCTCTGAAAAATACATCTTCAGCCTTTACAGAGCAGACTCGGTAGAGGACATTCAGGCTTGTTGCAACTCCAAGTTTCATGCCGCAAGGAAATCATCAGACAACTGATACTGGGGTCCTACCCAACTGTATACATATAAACACATACATAGGGCCACGACGGCCATTACCATAATGATTATGTTGCCGGAGGATCTCAGGCCCAGATGTCCCCAATTCGTCAAAAATCAAATCTGTAGAGAAGGAAACTGACAAAGGCAACCTTCCCATTGTATGTGTGTTTCTATGGAATATTTCTGGTCCTAGAGATTTCCCGCTTTGGTACTCCACCGCCCCCCCCCCCCTCCCACCATGCTATGAGTGGAGTCGAAACTTACCTGTATGCAACAATGAGGGGAAAGTCCCCACTGTCTGCCTGACACTGCGTCGCCTTCGTGTTCTTTTTGCAGTTGACCTACAATTATGAACACAGTTAGCCGGCAGGGATGGCACAATTCGCACAGTGCTGATACATGACTGTAACGTTACTGTGCCAATGCGGGATTCGCAGTGGTGCTGCCATAGCAGCAGCACAACACACTTGCTGGTACTTCAATGCGGCAGGGGAACAGCAGCATCCGAATAAATCCTGACCAAACCATGACTCCAGCTAGTCACTGTGTACCTACTAGCAGCTACAGCTGCAGTTACAGTACACTGCTGTATAAGTACAAATTTTCATTTATGAAATCTTTCGCTAGATCACTCCACCAGCAGGTTCGTTACGTACTAAATTTCGTTTTTGGTCGAGACCTGTGGCCCCGAACGTTCAGAAGGAGCCACTTTAGTTTGGTACAAACTTTAGTTATTTCGTTCCCCCTAACGGATATAGCGAATTAATCAGTCCAAACGAAACTTTGTACTTATACAGTAATCAGCAGCTGCTCCTCCAGTCAATCTGGTAAGTTCCCGCATAAAACTAATTATGGCAATTGCGTAGATGTGACTGGCAAGATACAATGTATGCCGGTATACATGTACTGTGGGGTAATACCAGGAATGTCACACTTGTGCTCCAGGAATGCTCACACATTGACACCGGCGTCATAGTCACAACGAAGCCGATTATAATACTGTAACTCAGGCTGCATGTGTTGCGAAATTCGATACGCTTTTTAAAATATTTACACCCGTTGTTGTCTCTGGTCTCGCTGTCTTGTCCTGTCCGGTGTCAAATATGGTCTGCTGTCTGTACGGGAGTGGTGCGTGGTGTGCAGTATATGGGTGTGATGCGTATGACGTGGTATATGTGGTGTATGCGTTGTCAGAGTGTGTGGATCTGCTTCTGCCTGTGTGAGTGCGTTTGTCGACTAGTTGTAGCGCATGCGTGGACTATGTGGAGCATGCGCTGTGCGAGTCAGGTTCGGGGGCGAGGGAGTGGTGTGATTCGTCCACGGTGTTGTTGTCTTGGTTCTGGTCACATGTATCGTACGTACTGGTCGCTCATTGGTCGTTTCGATGTGTTCGCCCTTTCTCTGTTTATAGCTGTTGGTCGTTTATTATTTCTTTGTCTTTCTCCCCCGTTCTCTCCGCCACCAGTTAGTGAATTATAACTCTGAAACAATCTGTCAACCCAAATGAGTCAGCGTGTTGTGGTGTGGCGTGCGGAGAAGGGCGTGGGGGATAGTCCACCAACACATGTGCACTGGCTCACCTTGTAACTTTTAATGGCAAATCGACTGAGAGAGTGACTTGCTTCTTCAAACGTGGACTGAATATCTGCAGATGAATGAGCAGATCAAGCCAAGCCTTCGCAAGATTTGATGCGAATTGCTTTAGTGGAAATTGCAGCACATAGTAGTAGTAGTAGTATTTATTATTTGACTACATGGATCCAATACTTTCATGCAGGGCTGAAAAGGTCTCTGATCCAGTCTCATTCAGTCATTGCTGAGGCTAAATGTTCTAGGCCAGTCTCCTGATATATTATTATTATTATTGTTATTACAGAACTCTTCCTCTCCTCTCCTCCATGCGCTCTCACAGCGGCGACTCACTGCTACCCTCAGTAGCCATTACACACACCAACCAAGGAATCTTGCGCCCATGTTTTGTAGTATAAATCTGACCATCTCCACCTGATATCATCCTATTCAATATCACCTTCTCTGATGAGCCTTATGAAGGCGAAACAGCTGTCAGGAGGAATTTCAGTATCTACCTGCAATCCTTCCTTGGTTGGTGTGTGAGATGGCGACGAAAACGTTTAGGAACAAGCTTCTTTATTTACATGAAAACAAGTTTTGCTAATGGTGTTTGTACTGAGTGCGCAGCTTACTCTATTTATTGCGTTGATTACATTTTTATCTCCACGTAAGCTTTTTAATTATTATTATTAAATTTTGAATAGGGCAGTCCCACAGGCCTAGGGCCTTTTTACAGGGTACCCTATGAATTGTTGAATAGATGAACGGAAGTTTCTGAGATTATAATTATAAGACCATTACATTATGATTCATGATTGAAGTAATTGGTGATTCAGACTCAGTCGGAGGTTCAGCTTTTCCGGAGTTGGCTAACTCGAGAAATGGCCCATTGCAAAATCGCATGTGAGCTATCTGACCTCAGCAGCTGATCAAACGACTGCTTACCGCCATGTTCTTCCTCCTCCCTGTCACCAGCTGCGTACATGACGATAGCCACGCGAAAGTCCGTCTCTTTTACGCGCTTGTCCACCTCCTTCTGGCTAAGCCAGGTGCCGGCAGCCTTGCGGCCTTCCGCGTCCGGTACCCAGCATAGTGTGCCAGCAAAAAACAGAAAGGCGAGCAAGTACCTGGTACCTCTCAGACTGGGTTGGGCTCTGCCTGCTGAATTCCTCCTTTGCTTTTGTTCAATCTCCATTGATTCCTGTCGATCAAGACAGTGCTATGTTTTCTCTACCACGTGCACGCTGCTGCAAGATTGGCGCCGAAGCCACCCACAACTATAAAGTATAATTACTTCCTCGTTCACAAGGATTGCCCTTCAGCACTCTTTCCCCTCTGAGGTGCTACCCGTTACTCGACTTCACTCTTCCCTTCAGGGAACTAGCTTCTCGGATCTCCTCACTCGCTGTGAAACGATGTGATATCGCAGACTAGACGTCGTCTAGCACACCCATTTACAACACTAACAGTCGCACATGATCAGTTTCGCTGTGCCACGTGTGTTTGGTGTCATGAGTCTGCAAACGGTAGAAGACCTAGCCCTAACTGGCCTACACGGCTACAGTAAGTCCTTTCTTCAGTCTTCAACGACAGTCGTCCATGTCCAGTAGATCTACAGACTACATGTACATGACTGAGTCTGTAGGTCTACATGGCGGCGCAGTCTTGATCAACCGCAGATGCAGATGACCGAGATGAGCCCGACGCTGGGTTCACCGTTGCCTGCGGGGGTACGGGTGCGTGTAAACCCGATTTGCATCCAAGAAGTATAGCCTCTTTTATTGGCGAACAAAACACAATTTGCCATGGTGGCGGATTGGAAGAAAACTCACATACATGTACTGAAAACAATTGCAAGTAGACTGATGATGTGCGGGTAAGGAATATTAAAAGTCCCCTACAAGTACAAGAACAAGACTGGCAACTGGGCCAGTTCAACTGCAACACTGTACGTAGATACGAGTATGTTATAGACCATGGCATGGACATGGTAGACTGTTGTGCAGTACCGGTATGTCTTGTGTTGTACAGTACTACAATTTTTTTAATACTGTACATACACATAATTGTAGTAAAGTAGGCTATCATTACGTTACATGTTTGGTTTGCCAATTGAAATAAAGAAAACAACAACAACGTGCACAGCCATTTACATAGTAGCAGCTGTTGCGAAGCATGTCGGTTCTTCAGAAATTGGTCGGTCCATTGCCCATTGGTGGAGCCCGTATACCAGAAATGTTGACTCCAGATTATCCACCTTTCTGGGCCACTGGCACGGAGGCAGTCTGGGGCGAGTCCTCTTCCGCACCGGCACGACAGCGTCAAAAGTCACTGACCTCTCCCGGCTGATTTCTTCCAGGCGTATACTACAATCATTTTGTGGTATCCTGAAGGAGTGTCGTAATGACCTACACTTGCAGCAATCCTAGGCCCTGGGCCATGGGCTGTAGCGAAACTGTTTATTTTTATTTTTTTTATTTTTTTACGAAAGTCCACTCTATTATTTGTCTGCGTAGACAAAGCACGCCACAATGCAGTAAAACCATGAGGAGGGGAGGAGGAAGGGGAATGAATAATAATGGGCAGATGGTCGTGAGAGAAGCAGAATGAGAGATAACAATAACATGTAGTGGGGAGAGAAGCAGAATGAGAGATAACATGTAGTGAGGAGAGAAGCAGAATGAGAGATAACATCACATTGTGGTGAGAGACTCGAACAACGCGCGCGCAACGCAGCTTGGGCCTTCGAGTGCCCAAATCTGCCTCCAAAGCCGGCCACGACCGTCCAACCGCTCGCGGGTCCATTTTATGGAACACCCTGCCATCCGACGTGCGTGGTATTACCCAGTACCACCAGTTCAAACAAGCCTGCCTCCCGTTCTGTCTTGCTAGCAGTAGCACCCGGTACCCACTACTGAACACTACAGGAATCTTTGAACGTTTGCGGTACTCCACAGTACCAGTCAGTGCTGTTTACCGCCTCCCCGTTGTTGTATTCTAACGTTAAAGGGGAAGTTAAGGCAAAAATCAAAATTTCACCAGTTGTAGTCTTCGGGGTGCTGAGTCGAATGGTCTTGGTCCGAGGAAGCTGAGACGCTCCCTTCCTACTTGAATCCCAATCGAACTCGCGCACTTCTACCGAAACTGGGTGACTGCGCCCTACTAGATGGGGATTTGTATGCAAAATGTCACTAAAAGCGCCATTTCGTTCTTATAAAAGCACGGATGACCGCGATTGGCCCATATGTTGTAGTCTTTTGGACGCTGAGTCGACTGGTTTTGGTCCGAAAAGGCTGCGATGTAGCGTTCCTCCTTTATTCCCAATCGAACATGGTCGAACAAGCGGTCACGTGCTCCTGCGTACACCAGTCACCTGGTCACGGTGCCTGCAGGGTACAACTTACTAGCCTGTTTGACCTTTTTTGGGTGCACTCCTGTCACTCGAGTTGAACTCGAGTTGAACCTTGGTGTGAAATTTGTCGCCTGCTGGCGTGGTGACCAGGTGATTTGGACTCCCAGGAGCACGTGACCGCTTGTTCAACCATGTTCGATTGGGAATAAAGGAGGAACGCTGCATCGCAGCCTTTTCGGACCAAAACCAGTCGACTCAGCGTCCAAAAGACTACAACATATGAGCCAATCGCGGTCATCCGTGCTTTTATAAGAACGAAATGGCGCTTTTAGTGACATTCCCAGCTTGTTGTGTTCAGGCCAAAGTCGAAACCTCTTGACCCCGATGTCAACGTTCAGATTGAAGATGTCACCATCACCCCTAGTGCACACGTGAAATACCTCGGTATAGTTCTTGACGAACATCTCTCCTTTGGAGTTCACATTGCACAATTAGAACGTAAAATAGGCTGTAAGTTAGGAATGTTTAGAAAGGTCCGAGACCATTTAACGATCGATGCTAAGAGGGCTTTCTACATCTGTTCCATTCAGTCCATACTTGAGTATGGGTCTAATTCCTTTGCTCACTGCCTTTCTGCCTCCCTCCATGACCGTGTTGTCCGACTTAGTAATAGAGCGCTGCGTATTGTATTTTGCATGCCCCGCCTATCTGATGTCTCCCTTGTTCTTGCCCGCTACCATATCATTCCCTTGTCTGTCAGGTACCAATTCAAGCTGTACGTTCTAACGTACCGTGCGCTTCATGATCTGGCTAGTGTCTTTGTTGCTAACTGTTTCTGTCTCCGCTCTAATTCTACCTGCACTAGTTCTCGCACCCGCTCTCAAGTGTCCTCTTCCCTTGCTCTTCCGACAGCCAAACGTCGCTATGGTTTATTTTCTGTCACTTTCCTTGGCTCTGACCGCTGGAATGCCCTCCCAGCGGAGGTCCGCTCAAGTTCTTCCTTGCATACCTTCCGTAATTCTGTTCTTCATTTTTTAGGGTACCCTGTCAAAAGGCCTTAGGCCTGTGGGGATTGCCCTATCAAAAATTTAATAATAATAATAATAATTTTGCATACAAATCCCCATCTAGTAGGGCGCAGTCACCCAGTTTCGGTGGAAGTGCGCGAGTTCGATTGGGATTCAAGTAGGAAGGGAGCGTCGCAGCTTCCTCGGACCAAGACCATTCGACTCAGCACCCAGAAGACTACAACTGTCACATACAAACTCCTGTACACGCTCTCAAGTTTCTGCAGCCCTTACTCTTCCCCCTGCTTCAAATCGGTATGGTCTTTTTTCTCTTAGTTTTCTAGGCTCAGATCGTTGGAACTCTTTACCTGCTGACATTCGCCTATGCACATCTGTTTCTCGCTTCCGTAACCTTGTATTGGCACATTTAGGGTACCCTGTAAGAAGGCCTTAGGCCTGTGGGGATTGCCCTATCAAAAATTTAATAATAATAATAATAATAATAATAATAATAATAATAATAATCCAGGTTGGCGATGAGACCATTGCAGAGTCGCTACGACTCAATGAAACATACAAGTACCTTGGAGTAGTGCAAGCAGCCATGATACCTCACCCGAAGCTCAAGACGCAACTCACTGCAGAATACAAAAAGAGATTGTATTTGCTTCTTAACAGTGGATTGAATGCGCGAAACATGATCAAGGCCATCAATACGTAACGTTATGCTCTGCCGGTTATGACATATAGTTATGGAATCGTAAATTGGACCGAGGCTGAAATCAAGACCACAGATCGAGTGACAAGATCAGCCTTGACTGCGTCTGGATTTCACCACCCCAAAGCCTCAGTCAACAGGCTCTACATGAAGAGGGGAGATGGAGGCCGGGGCTTGGTCTCTTGTGAGGATATGCATGGCCGGAGCATGTGTGGCCTGGCCCGCTACATGAGTACCAGCCCAATAGACAGAATAAGCCTGCTTTATCAGTATCATCAACAAAAACCTACAACAAAAAGCCACTCAATAACTGCAAAGGCCGCTAAGTTCCTGTCGAGTTTGGATCTGCCAGCAGCTGGACCAGCTTTACCCAATAAGCATACCATTAAACAAGCGTGCGCTGAGCGAAAATCCAAAACACTTTCCACTATGCCGCTGCATGGGAGATATTGGAGCCGATTGGAGGAGAATCGCCTAGATAAGGAGCTTACCTTCATGTGGTTGAAATCAAGGACACTGAAACCTTCAACTGAAGGCATGATTATGGCAGCACAAGACCAATCCCTCAAAACGAAAAATTACCAATACGCCATAATGAAGTCAATTCCTCGAACTGATGCCAATTGCAGGCTTTGCAAGGGCAGCTTAGAAACAATTGACCACATTGTCAGTGCCTGCCCAGTTCTTGCTCGGACCAGTTACATTGAACGACATAACCGGATAGTAAAGTATGTGCACTTCGAAATGTGTAAAGCACGAGGTCTACCTACTGGTGCTTCACGATTCGACCACCAGCTCAAGGCATTGGTCAAGAGTAATCAGTATCGCCTCTATTGGGAGTATTCGGTCCCAACTGACCTGAAACTATCAGCAAACAGGCCCGATCTGCTCCTTGTTGATGACAAGGAGCGCATCGCCTACATTATAGACATCAGCGTTCCTGGTGAGAACAACATCAATAAGAAAATGGCTGAAAAGCGCTCGAAATATTATGATTTGAAGCGGGAGATTTCGAGGATTTGGTCCCTCAACCAGGTTGACGTGGTCCCTGTGGTTGTCGGTGCCCTGGGAGGCTTGGTGGGGGAGACTCCTCAATGCCTTCGGACTGTGCAGGGAGGAGACCTGGCTATTGTGCAACAGGAGGCTATACAAGGTTCGATTAAAATACTGAGAACTATCCTTAACATGTAGATGCACCTCTGCTGCGTTTGCATGTTCAATAGCTAAGAGACTTGAATAACGACTGATAAAGACTGATATTTCCTTTGTTACTACTCCCTTCATTGGTTGATGTATTTTTGCCTGTCGCTGCAAATTCTTTATTATTGTTTTGATGTTGGAGTTCGGATTGAGTTTCTTTCCTTTCTTCCTCTTCCTTCAACTAGTTCTTGTCCCTTTGGTTTTTAGGTTTTATTTATTTATTTATTTTTGTTTTTGTTTTTTCACTTTCTTTTTGCTGTCCCACC